AGAGGCAAGGAACCAGCAGTCAACTGAGTGCATCTAGCTGAGAGGCAAGGAACCAGCAGTCAACTGAGTACATTTAGATGAGAGGCAAGGAACCAGCAGTTAACTGAGTGCATCTAGCTGAGAGGCAAGGAACCAGCAGTCAACTGAGTGCATCTAGCTGAGAGGCAAGGAACCAGCAGTCAACTGAGTGCATCTAGCTGAGAGGCAAGGAACCAGCAGTCAACTGAGTGCATCTAGCTGAGAGGCAAGGAACCAGCAGTCAACTGAGTACATTTAGCTGAGAGGCAAGGAACCAGCAGTCAACTGAGTACATTTAGCTGAGAGGCAAGGAACCAGCAGTTAACTGAGTGCATCTAGCTGAGAGGCAAGGAACCAGCAGTTAACTGAGTGTATCTAGCTGAGAGGCAAGGAACCAGCAGTTAACTGAGTGTATCTAGCTGAGAGGCAAGGAACCAGCAGTCAACTGAGTGTATCTAGCTGAGAGGTAAGGAACCAGCAGTCAACTGAGTGTATCTAGCTGAGAGGCAAGGAACCAGCAGTTAACTGAGTGTATCTAGCTGAGAGGTAAGGAACCAGCAGTTAACTGAGTACATTTAGCTGAGAGGCAAGGAACCAGCAGTCAACTGAGTGTATCTAGCTGAGAGGCAAGGAACCAGCAGTCAACTGAGTGCATCTAGCTGAGAGGCAAGGAACCAGCAGTTAACTGAGTGTATCTAGCTGAGAGGCAAGGAACCAGCAGTCAACTGAGTGTATCTAGCTGAGAGGCAAGGAACCAGCAGTTAACTGAGTGTATCTAGCTGAGAGGCAAGGAACCAGCAGTCAACTGAGTGTATCTAGCTGAGAGGCAAGGAACCAGCAGTTAACTGAGTGCATCTAGCTGAGAGGCAAGGAACCAGCAGTCAACTGAGTGTATCTAGCTGAGAGGCAAGGAACCAGCAGTTACAACTGTGACATGGATGCGCATGCAACACTCAGGTTCTGGAACAAGACAAAAGTCCAGAGGTGGATATATAAACAAAACTTTCTGCATCAGTTTACAGCTGGGGAATGTGAAGAAGATCAAGTAGACTCCCCAGGACCTACTTACCAAGTCTGCGTAGACTTGGCAGCCAAGGTCAATTTTGAGAAAAAACAAACTGCTATGAATAATCTGAAATCTAGTCTGGCACGAAACATCCGCAGTGCTCTTCCTAGACATTCATCTCGAAAGGTCTCTTATTTGTGAGCAATTCCTGCTTTCAACATCTGCGCAAATCTAAACTATCATCTGTACAGGACAACAGTCTTTACTAATGTGCAACACACCACATACAGCACAATGTTTGTGAGAAACTGACAATCACCACACACAGCACAATGTTTGTGAGAAACTGACAGTCACCACACACAACATAATATAATGTTTGTGAGAAACTGACAGTCACCACACACAACACAACATAATGTTTGTGAGAAACTTATAGTCACAACACACAACACAACATAATGTTTGTGAGAAACTTATAGTCACAACACACAACACAACATAATGTTTGTGAGGAACTGACAGTCACCACACACAGCACAACATAATGTTTGTGAGAAACTTACAGTCACATTCTCTGCTGCAAATGACAGGAGGAACAGGGTTCAGAAATAAACATACTAATGTGACAATCACAAAAATAAACATACTAATGTAACAATCACAGAAATAAACATACTAATGTAACAATCACAGAAATAAACATACTAATGTAACAATCACAGAAATAAACATACTAATGTAACAATCACAGAAATAAACATACTAATGTAACAATCACAGAAATAAACATACTAATGTAACAATCACAGAAATAAACATACTAATGTAACAATCACAGAAATAAACATACTATGTAACATTCACAGAAATAAACATACTAATGTAACAATCACAGAAATAAACATACTAATGTAACAATCACAGAAATAAACATACTAATGTAACAATCACAGAAATAAACATACTAATGTAACAATCACAGAAATAAACATACTAATGTAACAATCACAGAAATAAACATACTAATGTAACAATCACAGAAATAAACATACTAATGTAACAATCACAGAAATAAACATACTAATGTAACATTCACAGAAATAAACATACTAATGTAACAATCACAGAAATAAACATACTAATGTAACAATCACAGAAATAAACATACTAATGTAACAATCACAGAAATAAACATACTAATGTAACAATCACAGATATAAACATACTAATGTAACAATCACAGAAATAAACATACTAATGTAACAATCACAGAAATAAACATACTAATGTAACAATCACAGAAATAAACATACTAATGTAACAATCACAGATCACAGAAATGCAAAAACTGCATTTGATAAAAATGAAGAACATCTTATGCAATAAGTCCATGCCACTGGATGTTAGAAAAAGAATTCTCACATGCTACTGAGAGCCACTTTTAAGATTTGGCTGTGAATCCTGGACAATTAATAAACAAGCCAAACAACTTCTGGAAGCCTCAGTGATGAGATTTGACAGAAGAATCATTAAGATTCCTTGGGCAGCCAAAAAGAGCAACAAAGATGTTTTGAAAGAAGAGCTCGAAGACAGCTTGTCACAAACAATAAAAAGAGAGTAATCATTTCTTGGTTATGTTATGAGAAGAATATGTTGTTTACTGGAACATGTTGTGACTGCTGAAAATATGTAAGTAAAAAAAAAAAAGTAAAGATCCCTTACCATGCCTTTAGGCATATCGGGCATATGGGAAGAGCGCCCATATTTTTACAGACCATCAACACTCGGTGGGTAATGTGGTCAGCATTACACCGGCTGTCTTTACTTTCCCAGGACAGGTTGAAAATATGTGGTAAAAAAAAAAGAAAAAAAGAAGAAGATAATAATGAGGCAAGATTCTTGACAGCCTTTATTCTTTGGCAAAGGCATGGAGGGTGTCCATACATAAGCTGATACATGCCATTGAAGATCACAAGTTGTGGAGAGGCACGATTACCTCACCAGTAGGCAAGTCACCTGATGATGATGAACCATCAAAGAATGATGTTTTATAACTGACCTGGGCTATAAGTTTGACCCAGCTTAAAATAAGTACTGTCATGGAAGGTCAATTCAGCCAGTATGATGCTGACCACATGGCACACAAGAGGGCTGACTGGTCTACAAATATGGAAGTTGCCTTACTCAGCTGACTAATCATCAGAGATAAAACCACACAACAGGATCAACAGAGCCATAAAGTTACTGTGTGCATTACTCTTGGATAAACTGTGAGGTGTATTCCCTCTAGTCAAAAAAGCAACTGTTCATATCTTTCACCCAACATGAACAAGTACACACACAGACAGTAAAATTACACAAAAGGAAGCAGTCAAACAGTTAGAGCTAGACTGGTCAGCACAAAGCTATTGTGTTAATTTCTACATTGTGTTAATCAAATCTTTAATGTGTCTAGTCTTGTGTTAGAAATATGAACAAAACTGCGAAAGAGAACATGCCAGTTAAGCTGAACACAGCTACTCAACTTCTAAATTAATAAATAGCATTCCCTCACCCAGTGATCAGCAACCTGCTTTCATTTATGAAATGAAATTTATAAGAAAATAAAATAAAAATGAACAAATCTTAAACAAAACAAAAATGTCTGCATGTGAAAAACAAGAAGACTGAATACCTGGTTTCACAGTTCTATGCACACAGTCATCTTGTTTATATATCTGTTTATTTCACACTGTTTATAGATCTGATTGATTCTGCTTTGGTTATATACATTAGATTTCACACTACTATAAATCTGTGTGACTTCTCAACGCCATCTTTTATCTTGTTTTAGGGCCTATGTTTATAGATAAAGGGAGATTTAGAATCCCTGAAAGGACAGAAATTGTATGTACCGGAGGTGGGTTCCAGGACCCCATTGTGGGGTCAACAAGAACAGACCCACTGCCTCCCCAACAAGGATGTTGTTAGAGTCAACTAACTGGGGATTTCCTTCAAAGTCAGAGTGCTTCTGCCTCAGAGGCAAGGAACCAACAGTCTGCATACAAATAAGTAAAATGGATGTGCATGTAACACTAGGGTTCTGGAAAAAGACTAAAGTCTAGAGGTGGATGAACAGCCAGAACCTTCCTCTGGAGTCTACAGCTGGTTAACGTTAAAAAGAATAGCATAGCTTGCACACAGCATGGTGGTGACTGTCTCGGCAAGCAATCTTAATACCCCAACATACTCCCCCCCCCCCCCCCCCCCCCAACCAATAAAAAATTGCTGACACACATTAGCAAGGTATAACATGCTTGAATAAGATGGTATTCCTTCTTTTCTTTTTCCTTAAATCCCCCCTGCAGCATGAGCCTTCAGTCATCTCCTACAATATAACCTATTCAGAAAATGTGTTTATGGGGGGTTGGGGGTGAGGGGGCCTGGATTTCAAAGTTAAGATTTCCTATGAAACTAGCCCAGCAAATTCTTTATTGTCTTTTCATGATACACCAGGCGGGTTAGTTCTGTTAGCTTTGACTTTTTTTTTAATGCTTCTCTACACTGGAGAGCTTCACTTCCCATCTACCAGTTATAAGGACAAAGACTGCAATGATTAAGATGATGGTGAATAAAGTGTTCAGAACTGGTCAAGAAGTGGAACATCACCAGGTCTTTCATTTGTCTCTTGGCTTATGGCCGGGTTTCCAACCAGACAGATCCAGCACTTACCAGACAGCAATATTTCATATTACAATAGAACAAATCATTGGACCAGATGTATTTCTTTATACTGCATTTGTAGACTTTAAGAAACCCTTGATAACACTGACAGAAACCATGGTAGCAAGGGAAGAGTGGGTGAAGGGAGGGCGAAAGAAAACAAATAAACACACAGAAAGTTGTCAATGGATAAGAAAGTAATAAGGAAAAAGAAGAACATGACCCAGAATAGTAAAAAAGACACAAAAGAGAAACACATGTAAACACTCACTTGAAGTCTTCAGAATCCACAGACAACTCTTGTTCTATCTGCAGGAGTACATGAACCTGAGGAGATGAGAGACACAGAGTAATTTCCACTTGATATATTTACAGCAGGGCTATTTAAATGAGGGACCATGGGCCAGATCTGGCCCGCAGAGCCTAGCAAGAGGCCCACTGATCATTGCTCAGGTCGCTGGCTCGTGATGATCCCAATTTTCAAAATTTTGGCATGGAGTAAACTTAGCTAACTAGCCCTGATTTATAGGATCTGTAGTCAAAGCAATTTATCAGCTTTCTTCTATCATCTTTATTCATCAATACTTTAATCTTCATTATAAAACCATCATCTCTATAATATTCATTATAAAATCATCATAACCACTATAATATTCATTATAAAATCATCATCACTATAATATTCAGTATAAAATCATCATCACCACTATAATATTCATTATAAAATCATCAGCACTATAATATTCAGTATAAAATCATCATAACCACTATAATCTTCATTATAAAATCATCAGCACTATAATATTCATTATAAAATCATCATCACCACTATAATCTTCATTATAAAATCATCAGCACTATAATATTCATTATAAAATCATCATCACCACTATAATCTTCATTATAAAATCATCAGCACTGTAATATTCAGTATAAAATCATCATAACCACTATAATCTTCATTATAAAATCATCATCACTATAATCTTCATTATAAAATCATCATAACCACTATAATATTTATTATAAAATCATCAGGACTATAATATTCATTATAAAATCATCAGGACTATAATATTCATTATAAAATCATCAGGACTATAATATTCATTATAAAATCATCATAACCACTATAATATTCATTATAAAATCATCAGGACTATAATATTCATTATAAAATCATCAGGACTATAATATTTATTATAAAATCATCATAACCACTATAATATTTATTATAAAATCATCATAACCACTATAATCTTCATTATAAAATCATCAGGACTATAATATTCATTATAAAACCATCATCACTATAATATTCATTATAAAATCATCATAACCACTATAATATTCATTATAAAATCATCATCACTATAATATTCAGTATAAAATCATCATCACCACTATAATATTCATTATAAAATCATCATAACCACTATAATCTTCATTATAAAATCATCATAACCATTATAATCTTCATTATAAAATCATCAGGACTATAATATTCATTATAAAATCATCATAACCACTATAATCTTCATTATAAAATCATCAGCACTATAATCTTCATTAAAAAATCATCATAACCACTAATATCTTCATTATAAAATCATCAGCACTATAATATTTATTTTAAAATCATCATAACTACTATAATCTTCATTATAAAATCATCATAACCACTATAATCTTCATTATAAAATCATCATAACCACTATAATCTTCATTATAAAATCATCAGCACTATAATATTCATTATAAAATCATCATAACCACTATAATCTTCATTATAAAATCATCATAACCACTATAATCTTCATTATAAAATCATCAGCACTATAATATTCAGTATAAAATCATCATCACCACATAATCTTCACTATAAAATCACCATCACTATAATCTTCATTACAGAATCATCACCATAATCTTCATTGCAAACTCATCATAATCACTATAATCCTCATAATAAACTCATCACCATCGCTATAATCTTCATATACAATCATAATCACCACTACAAACTTCACAAAATAATAATAATCATCACCACCACAATCAAAACCTCATCACTATTACAAAACATTATCATTTCTCTTCTCATAATCACTGTACTCAATTCTTTGCCTATGACCTGAATTGCTCCTATACTGGTAATTCATCTATGAATGTATTTTCCTGCACAAATCCAGCTGTCCCGTTAAAGAACTATCTCTATATCCTCTACATGTCACTGCTGACACACAAGGCACTTACATGTGACCTCCACTGTTGCCAGTCTGCTGTTTTTCTACCTACGGTATCCAATTTCATGCATTCATTTCCCTTTCTACTGTAATTCTCCAAGTTTCCTTTCCATCAAAGAAACAATTTGTAATAATACAGTAACCTCTAGCCCCAACATGCGAGTATCTATACTTTACTGCCATTCAATAACTCTGCTACCTGCCCATGATTTGATTTTAAAAAAAAAATTTTTTATTCACTGCCAGGGGGTGGAGGGATTTGCTTTCCTCTTCTAAAAACTTAACATTGCTATTTGCCTGCCACTTCTAAAAACAAAACAAAAAAAGAACACTGTTACCTCTGTGCTGCTTCTCAAAACTTAACATATACACCTTTCTGCCACTTCTCAAAGCCAAATACTGCTTCAATAATTTCTGAAAACTAAACTACTATTTCTGTGATGAGTTTTGTTGTTGTCACATCTTAACATCAAATTACCATTTCTGTGATAATGGTCGGCCACAGAGACAGCAGATGACGGGCGGACATCCGGAGAATAAGAACTCGGAAACACAAGAATACAGATGACATCACATTCGCCACCTGAGGCAATCGCAGGCACTCCGTCAACCTCTCTGTCAAACACATAAGAAGGTATAATAAATGTTTCTACATCATTTTACAACATACCAAAGGTTCACTAGATGCCTCATTTGTCCTGCGCTAAAGCAGAATAAGACTGGGAATAGTACAAGCGGGTAAACACATTATTTTATTTTGAAGACACTAGGAATAAAAGACATGAAGGAATCAACGTGAGAGGATGTAAGATCAACAATATAAGATATGCAGATGATACGGTGTTAACTGCAGACAATGAAAAAGATCTGCAGTTTAGTGGATGCTGTAAGAGTTAACAATGAGAAATGAGCCTTAGAGTTAAATTGCAAGAAACGGAGATTATGGTCATCACCAATAAGAAAGAAATATTAAAGTGTGAAATACACGCAAATGATAACATCCTTAAGCAAGTCAATAGATGCAAACATCTGATGCAAGATGCTTTGCAGAAATCAGAACATAAACTGCCATGGTAAAGGTGACCTTTAGCAAGGTACATAAGATTCTCACCAATAAGAAGATGTTAACAGCAGTGAGAAAAGAGTTAAAATTTTATGGTGAACCTGTGGTGTTATATGCTTGTGAGATATGGACAATGAGCTGACAATCTAATAAATATTTACTTGCCGCAGAGATGTGGTTTAAGAAAAAAAATGCAAAGAATAACACTGAGGGATAGAAAAACAAACGCAGCAGTGCTCATAAAGCCAGATAAAAGTTGTAAATTCATTAAACAGTAAGATGTGGACAGTCAGTGTTACTGAGACATGTTATGAGAAGAAATGGACTTGAGAACTTGGTAACAACTGTCAAGATTGATGGAAAGAGAGCAAGAGGAAGGCAAAAAGATAAATACATGAATGGTCCGGCCAGATGGATGAGGTATGACAAAAATATTGAGCTGATCCCTGATTCTGGTGATCATGTAAGACTGTGAAACATGACAGCCTATGCTAACCAGCATGACACATGATAATGATGACAATGAATAAAATTAAGAGACACTTGCCTGCAGGGTGGAAGATCTTGGGTTTGAATCTGCATCAAAGTGGATTTGTTTCTCAAAATTAACCTTGGCTACAAGGTCGACTCAGACTAAAATGGCCACCAGGTTATTTCTGGGAATTAAAGGCAACTGGCATGATCTTGACCACATCAGCCCCTGAGTGCTGACCACATCAGCCCCTGAGTGCTGACTGATCTACACAAATATGACTAGCACCATAAGTCTAATACACAACTGGTGTAAAATGGGTATTTTCCCACCTAAGTCTATTCCACATTTTCTGTTGATATGCCCCAGAATTTCATTTGTCATTTCCTTAAAGTATGATGAGTGGTCTTGTAACTCCAGCGGCTCTCAGTACTTCAGTAACTGTTTCATTCCCTGCCCACGGTATGAACAATATGAGAGTGTCAGCAACCAATCAGTGACTGGGTGAGAGGAAACCAACCAGAACCCAAACGTCCAGGTACTCACCTTGAATCTCAGGCATGGCTCGCTGGTATTGATCAGCTTCGCTACAGAAGATGGTGAATGCCAGCCTCTTCATCATCAATGCCCGCAGATCACACTCCTGCTCCTTGGTGGTGAAAAGGTTCAGGGAGGCAGACTGGGTCACAGATACCCTGCCTGGGGACACATCCACAACACCAATGTAAGCATGGGCAGAACAGATATAATGAACAGTAAATAGACTACACAAGTACATCATGATGGATCTCTAATGCTAACACCAAGCTGTACATGTATCCAAGCACTGTGTGACATGCATAAGTTAGCATCCACATACTTTAGTATTGGCTGAGGGAGATGAAGCCCTTATAATTGTGTCCAGAGCATAGTGAGGTAGCACCTGTTTATCAACAAACAGCAGATTAAAGGTGACAGGATTAAAATTAATACACTGGATCAGATCCCATGTGGCTCTGTCTTTACTCCCGAAGGAGTATTACACAAAATATGAATTCTTCGACTCCAGCAATAACCCACAGAGATCTCTAATAAAATTCACACTTACAAACTGAATAACCTAGTCTGAATATGAACCTATAATCTTCAGCATAGGAAACACATGGCATGAACACTTCACTTCAAAACACCCCCTCTCTCCTCCTCCCCCACACACACAAGCACACACACACTAATAGAATACAAACCCAGCAGATCCTTAAAGGTAGTTTTGTCATGTGTCATCAGGTGATCAATGATGGTCCTCCAGGAGGCAATGCTGGCAACATCCATCTGAAAGAAGGCAGGAGCCAGCAACATCTCAAAGGCCTCCTTCCTCCAAGCCTTGCGTGTGTACTGGTAGCCTGATATGCTGGACAGTATCTGGCTGCAGGCTCGGAAACTTGCCATGTTCTCCATACTGTAGATACAAGAGTTTTCTATGAGTAGATTATCTTCACAGCACTCTGGACACATATATAGGCGCTCAAATTCCCCTCTCAACTTATTTATCAGCGTCACGGTTAATAGTGCCAGTCCTATGTTGGTTAACAAGACTTTGTGTGCGTCCGGTGTGCTTCTCATGCTTGGCTGTGCTGATCTTTACTCCCAATTCTCATACTCTTAGCAGTGATGTGGACATGTTGCTTCCAAAATCCTCAGAACATCCTATCTCTCTAAGGGCAATGGCAATGTCTGCGTGATCCATGGGGCGGCCATTTTCAATTAATGCAGCACCTGCCAGTCTATCAGCTTTTTCATTACCAACAACGCCTACAGGCCCTGGGATGAATATGAAGGTAACTGCACATTCAGGAGAGTTTTGCAATGACTCAAGACACTGTCTGCATAACCAGCCTGCCTTGACAAACCCCAGACCATGCTCAAAGAATCACTCAGCACACACACGCAGGAACCATATTGTGATTCTAGCCACATAAAGGCTTGTGTCCCCGCCATCACCTCTATCGTCATGCTGCTGGTAGTCATGGAGAAGGCACCGCTGACTTTTGTTAGACAGTTGTCACATAATCCACATTATTTTACTGCTTACTTTAGCTCTTTCTATTTATTGTGCTATTATTTCAATTCCAAAGAATGGTTAAAATACAAGCAACTGCATGAAATATTAACAAAAGCAACTCCATGCAATGTTAAAAGAAAATATGAAATGCCAAATACATTAGGAACTGTGATTTCTCTAAGATAAATTACAAATATATTAACACCTGCAGTTTCAGGTAAGATAAATCTTAAATGTTTTCCTATCTGTGATTTCCAATGACATAATGAAAAATTAACTAAAACCTGTGACTTCCCATGATATAAATGACAAATATATTAACACCTGCAATTTCCCATAAGATAAATGCTAAATGTATTAAAACCTGTGATTTCCCATAGCACAAATGACAAATTTAGCAACACTTTTGATTTCCCATAAGATAAATAAATATACTAGAGTCTGTGATTTCTCATGGGTCTGCAAGGAACTTCTAACTACAGTGAAAAGATGGAAAACGCAAAGGTACGGACATGCAATAACAATCCTCCAAAAACAATACCAAGGGGCTCAGTGGGGGCATACTAGAAAAAGACTTTGTTACAGTACTTGACCACTGGACAGGCCTTAAGCATGCAACCAGTAATCCATTGCAGCTGATCATCAGAGGTGGATGCAACTAATTAGACAACCAACAGAGACTGGTGACCCAATGACATGCAGTGCTATATAATGATGATGATGATTTCTCCTGAAATAAATGACTAATACTATAAAACCTGGGATGTAAAAAAAAAAAAAAACACACACACACACAAAAACAAGCACATGGTCACCTGTGATTTCTCAGGTAGGGGAAGACATTATAGAGTAAAGTTGTGAGAAATGGGGCAACTTTAAACTTCTCCTCACTTGAATACACCACATCCAGGAGGTGTGATGTCAGCTGAAAGACAACCAATAGGATTTGTCATTAGCACTTGATGTTTCAACCACTGCACCATGTGTGATTGGCTGCTCTTCATGTGACCTAATTAACATGTCACATATGATTGGTTATTCTTAATGTGTGATAATAAACACATGGGATTGGTTGTTTCTTATGTGCATTAGTTAACATGTCACATCTGACTGGTTTCTTAATGTGTGATAATAAACACATGGGATTGGTTGTTTCTTATGTGCATTAGTTAACATGTCACATCTGACTGGTTTCTTAATGTGTGATAATAAACATATGGGATTGGTTGTTTCTTATGCGCACTAGTTAACATGTCATTTGTAATTGGCTGTTCATGTATACCAATAATGGTGGCATGTGTACCAGTGACTGTGTTCTGTGTGTTTGTAGTTTTTAGTTCAGTCACACTTATAAGAGAAATCTGCCTAGATATGTGTTTAATGAAGTAAATTAGAACCAAGCAACTCCACATATGTTAATTGGTTACATCCATTCAGGATTTGTTTGTCACAAATTTCTGTGCCCCATTCAAATGTTATACCAATCTCTTCTCTCCTTCAACTCTTGCTATCAAACAGAGTAAATATTAAAACTTCTTTGTAGGTGCTGGGCCCCATTTTTTTTGAGAAAACAGAATAGACCCATCACCCCATAACAAGCATGCCACAAATGGGGACTAATTTAGGAGTTGCTGAAATCTGTTGTCAGCATACAGTTGACAGTGTTGGAGCACATGCCCAAAAATGCTGAGCATGTGCTCCAACACTGTCAACTGCATGCTGACAACAGAGACGCAATCTGGCCTGTTCCAACCACACTGAAGACAAAACTGTATGGTACACGAGAGGATATGGATTGCACGATAGCTTTCATAAAGGCTACCGGCCTCCTGATATTGTTTTCTGACAGAAGGATCGAAGAAGAAGAAGAAGAAGACTTCCATTTGTGATCCATCAGATCAGGATATTCTATTAGTTCTTCCACACTGAACAAGCTGTCTTTCACCATGTGCGTTTCTGGGCTCCATTTGAGAAAACAAAGAATGCACCTACTGCCCATAAAACAGGCTGGTTGTAGGAGGCAAATAATTAGGGATGTTTCCTTCAAAGTAGAATGCATCTGCCTGAGAGGCAAGGAAACAACAGTCCACATACAAAAAAGCCAGATCTGTAAAATGGATGTGCACGGAAAGCCCAAGTTCTGGATCAAGACCAGAACTTTCTGCTGAAGTTTGCAGCTGGTAAAAACTAAGAAGAAAAAGAAGAAGAAGAAATCTGTAACTGGCACCATCCCTTGACCACCCACCTCAGCTAGGAGAAACAAAGCCTGAACACTGTATCTGGAGTCTGTAGCTTGACTTCTGCGGATGGCAACCTTGACAGTGCTAGCCTCCTGCTGGGTGTCTGCAAGTGAAAGGACATGTGTGAGCTCAGACAGAACATACTCTTAATCAAGCATACATCCTTGTTGTTTCCAGATGTCCATGGGGAACACAGCCATCAGGAATCAATGAATGCTTGACTTTCAGAGGCTAATTACATATTTTTGCCTGATAAAAATCTTTTAAAAAATGACCAAATTTTCTCCACAGAAAAAATACACACCTTTTTATAATTCTGTACAACTGTACCCTAAGAAACTATAACAAGAGAAAAAACATGGAGTCTTGATGAGTTTTTATAAATATCCAGGGTATCTAACTCCTAGACCACCAAGAAGACAGACATACATGTTCCTATGCTGCTCTGATGATTTCACATCACACAATAAATTAATTTCGATCATTGAATGTTGAAACAGGGAAAATGTTTATTTCAACTTCAAGGGAAAGTAATCACACAATATAAACAGAGTAAAGAATTAAACTCATTTCCTCCCCTTTGACCATTCAAAAGTGGTTTTTGTTCACTTTGCCACAGAAAGCAATGTGACACAATTACTAAATGATACAATATTAATGTAAATTTTTTCCAACCCCAAATATCTAAATATTGTGGGGTAAACTTGACTAATCACACCAGGTCATTTGCAGCAACTATCAAAGTTGTCATATAGGTGCACTGGGCACTGTCCAAAGACTTTGTGTCAATCCAAACCCATAAAAGTTGAAAAACAGCTTTGTCAGGATAAGAGCTTCAAAGGTTCAAAGTTGACTGACTTCCTGCACAGGGTTTCCAACATGGTGTCTTTCCAGAATGGTTAATCACCTGCCAAAGGCACTGCACAAAGCGTGAACTCTGCAGCTCCAGCATTGAACCTCATGGATCTCAATAAAAACTACATCTGAAAACATAACATTTCAATCCATGAAACAAATCTGCCACCTTCAGGGCACAAGGTAATCAGGTTCGTGTGTCAACAAAAAGCACAAAAAATATCCACATTACTGTCCTTTTTGAACAAATCAACTCAAGACTGCAGTCTCAGCAAGGCCAAAAGCACACACACACACTCATTCAATGCATAAGACAGCCATCTGAAGGTCCAACACAAACAGTCCACCCCTAGAAATTCAGTTTATTGTTGATAGAAGCAGCAGTTATAACAGATATCAGTAGTCACACAAGCAATTAATTGCATAAGACATCATCAGTTCTCTGGCAACAGGCCATGCACCATGCTCTGAATCTGCAGTTCACAATACAAACCACATTGGGCACAGCTGAAAAGCCTTCTAAATTAAATCTGCAGTCACAATGTCATGCCATGCACTCAGTAGCTTGGCGATGGAACTATATCCTTCCAGTCTACATATGGAGCAAGATGAAATGGCTGACTACTGTTAGAAGCAAAACTTGCTATGCAGCCTATCCACTATATTGACCAGAAGTCACAGAACAAGGTGAACAGCTTAACCACTCAGCTAAAAACATAGGAAATGGGGGTATGCAAGCCATGATATGTGGAAAGACAACAGAACTATGAAGCATGTTTTTTTAATAAGTCCCATTTTGACCGCAGTTTTGTTTGACAAACACTGATGGAAAATGTAAATGTGCATATGCAGTATGTTTCTGTAGTTCATAAGCTAGCTGTGTGCTATTTATTTACTGTCAAAATCTTGATTGATGCTGCATGTGGGTGATTTATAATAAGTGCAAAAATAGACAGTCCCGCCAGCTGCGAGGTTAGTGCTGTGATTCATATAAAACCCCACCCCCACCAAAAAAAAAACAGTACTGCAGAAATTCACAGGCAACTCATTGAGGTTTATGGGCCAGATGTTGTCACTGGTAGTCTGGTTAGGAAATGGTGTTGAATGTTTAAAGAAGGGCAAACAAATATCCATGGTCGAAGAAAGGAACCAAAAAATTCAGAAAAATTGTCACTTCACAATTTCTGAGTTGTCTGACAAAGTTTATGGAAGTTTTACTTTTCACTGATTAAAGACATTGTGACAAGAAACTTTAGATTAAAAAAAAATTGTGTGCCATCCAAAATAAAAGACGTTGGTTGCTGTCCTCTGGAATTTTGCTTCTGCACAATAATGCTCGACCTCACGTTGCAGATGATACTGTTCAATTATGCAAAAATGTCACTGGGAAAATGTGGACCGCCCGCCCTACAGATCCAATCTGGCGTTAAGTGATTACAATCTTTTCATGCACCTAAAGAAGTGGCTGGCATCCCACTGGTGGCAGACTTCTATGACATTGGAACCTGGTGCCACGATACCAAAAATGTGTTGAAGTCAGTGATGAATATGTTGAGAAATTATGTAAATGTGTAATTCACTTTTAGCTGCAATAAACCATTTTTATATATGATATTTTTAAAATGTAAATTTAATACTAGGACTTACTTAAAAAAAGTTGCCTGGTATTTGGTCAAACATCAGCTCACCTGTGTCATCAAAGATCTCTGCTCCATCCTCAGATCCTGTCTGTGTGCCTACTCTGACAGCATAGTTCCTCCTCAGCCAGGCCCTCTGTTCCAGGGATGACCCCGCTATAGCACAGACAGACTCCAGGGTTCTCTGACAGATGTCCTGAAGTTCTTTCTGGTTTCTCTTCTCCTCCATTGCTGGTGTCTTCATCACTATCTCACTCAAGATTCTGAGATAGAAAATACAGCATTTTATGCAGCCTCTATACAGTGGTAGAAGAGTCACACCGTGGAAGACAATAAGGCCTCAGCATGTATTGTAACATCCCTAAGGACGAGCTGTGGGTGCAGTGCAGCCAACATTTATTGTAGAGATGACACTCAATTTAAAAAACAAACAAATGCAGTCTAGAATGTTCAGACAGTGTTTAACAACCAGAACAGTTATCTTTGCTGTCTGGCTTGGCTAGTCTGAAACTAGGTCATAGCATTGCTTCTACACACAAATACCTGGCCTTTTGAGGTTCTGATTTGAAGACTGGCTGGTTCTGCAAACAAAAAAGCCAGATCTGTAAAACAGATGTGCACACAAAGCTCAAGTTCTGGAACAAGACCAAAAATATCTGTTAGTATTGTAACTGAAAGTGGAAGCAGACACTTACCGTAGAAGAAGAAAAAGAGCTGGAGGACTGAGACTCATTTGAAGACACTCCTTGAACAATGTCAGCAGTGAAGGCCAGGAGTCCAGCAGCTGAAGGCTAGTGGCCGAGTGACGGACAAAGGTCCAGAACAACTGCAGCAGGCTCACTTCTAGTGGCAAATCTTTCTGTAACAAAATCACATTTCAATAGTTTAAACCTTTTTTTTTTTTTAAAAGGGAAAAGAGCGGGGGTGGGGGGTGGGGGTGGGGGGGTGGGGGTTAAAAAACCAGTGGCAATTTCTCTAAAAATCCTTTAAATAAAAAGTAATTTACACAAGTAACTAATAACTTGTTTAAACATGAGTTGAGTTGAGTCAGGAACCGACATCACAGCATTTGGGGCATTCCCGTAATCATCAATATAGTTATCACTTGAAAACCAATGATTTACACTGTTTATGTATGAACCATCCATACTGTGATCACTTGAAAACCCATGATTTATGTTAATGGTGTATGAAACCATCTATACAGTTATCATTTGAAAACCCATGATTTACACTAATGATGTATGCAACCATCCATAGATTTAACATCTGAAAACTCATAATTTATGGCGAAATGTTAAATTGTGAATTAAGAATTGACATCACAGCACCCCATCTTTAGCAGCAAGTGCAGAGTTCTAAATTCAATAATACCAGTAACAGACTTGACTGTGTATATGTCTGCCTTTCCCTTGATTGTTGAGAGAGGCATGTTATGACTTGACATGCATGTCATGTAATAAAGATTAGTAGCTTTTCTTGAAGTTTAGACAGAAAAACCCCATGCTTATTCTGATGATACATGCAGCACCACAGCAGATTATAAAATCCAAGATGAGTTGAACAATGATTGAAGACTGGCCCAAAGAAATAAACATCAACCAGACTTATTTAGTAATCTCAAGGAGCTCATAGAAGCATGAAAAAGAAAGACAACATGGAGACATCTTGAAAAAAAAAGGGAGACTGCATATGCAGACTTTACTGCCAGGAGATTGCCTTGTACCTATTTCAGGCTGAGTGAAACTTGAATCAACATAAACAAAAAGAAAGACAGCAGAAACTGGCATTCAACTCCATCACATTGACTTCCATGCTAGACAAGCACGAGGCAGCTCACCTTGGTCAGCTCAGTGGGAGGTGGCTGTCTGAGGACCTGCTTCACTGTCTGGATGAGTGTATCCACAGGCAGCACTCGGATAGCTGCCACCAGCTCCACCAGTAGCAACTGGTCATCACATGTCTCCACCAGCACTGGTTGCTGTACAATAACAAGTAAAGTAAAGAATCCTTTTCCAAGCTTTCAAGTAAATTGACCATACTAGGCTGGACCTATATACTTTATAGGCCAATCGGCACTTGACAGGTGATGTGGTCAGTATCAGGCCAGCTGCATTTACTGTCGACCACCTTTGCTTTCCGGGACTTTACCTAGTACCCATTTATGGCTGGGTCAACCTGGAAGCCGAGATCGTTTATATATATATATATATATATAAAAAAAAGTCTGGCGCCACCAGGACCTGAAACCATGACCTTCTCATCTGCAGGCGAATGTCTAGCCACTACACCACAGCAGCTCCCCATGCTGTCAAATAATCCTTGTAAATATAATCTAGAAGTACTGGATACTGTTAAAACATCACCGTAAATATATTTTATACGTCAATTTATTTGAAACATGCTGAATATCTACTTTAGGAGTTACAGTAGCGTTGCTTGCCTAAAGGTCTAGGGTAACAGTTCTCAACCTGTGGGTCATGACCTTTTTGCATGCATCACCTACGACCATCGGAAAACACATTTTCATTAAAGTTATAGAGAAAAATAGTCTGTGGGTTGCCACAACAAGAGGGAAACTGTATTAAAGAGTCGTGTCATTAGGAAGGTTGACAGCCACTGGTCTAGGGTTTAAATCTGTGAGGTAGATTTTTTCAAAACCAACCTTGGCTTCCAGGTTGACAACCCAGCTTACAATGTGAACCAGGTCATGCCCTGGGAAGTACAGCAGGCTGGTGTGATGTTGATCACATCAACTGTTGAGTGGGCAGGGGTCTTTAAAAATATGGGTCTAGCATCAATTAATACTGGCAGGAAAAGGGACCTTTACTTCCCAGGACATTTCCTTACCCATTTAAGTCTGGGTCAATGTAGGAAAAAAGTTAATTAAAAAAAAAAACACTATGTATGTTATGACAACAGGTTATGACTTGACGTCCACATGCAATAACAAAGTTTGTAGCTTTTCTTGTCTCAAATTAACAGCCAATGCCAACTGTTTTGTCCAAAACTGCCAAGAGTGTTTCAGAACCCAAACCTTTAGGCTGACAGGCTAGCATCTATCATATGCACCACTGAGTCACCCATGGATTGATGAGCACAGAAGTGAACCATCTGGGACTGAATGAGAATCACATTGTGGGAATTCAACTTTGTGGGAAATATGAGACGCAGCAAATCAAATGGTTTAATAATCATATTAGTAGGCAGACCATCACCTATCATTATATGCAACAAATCTGATTATGAATTACTGATTTTTAACTCTTTTGCCCTTTAAAAATCTTTAATTAAAAAAAAAAAAAAAATTTTTTTTCCAAAATACATAAGAAACCGACATCCTTACATTTTTTTTCTGATATGTTACCCTAAGACAGCAGAAGAACAGAAGATATATTTGCAGTCTTGGTTTGTTTTTATACAAATCCAGAGGGTTGGAAGAGAACAAACTAAGGAACAAACTTCATTTTTAAAGGGTCCCAAATTGGGCACGCGGGCCTGTATTACAAACAAGATGCATTGAACTGTATGTATGCTGACCTGTTTGGATGACGAGCCATGTGATGGCTTCTTCCTGCGGTCATTCCAAGCCACAGCAAACGCTGCCAGAAAATGAGTTCCATGTGTCAGGGAGATAGGGCTCAGCAACTCAAGGATCTCGTGTCTGATTGCCTGTTTACAAAACAAAAATAATAGTTGACATTTACAATCAAGTTTGATCTTCTTCTTGTGTACTTCTACTTGCAACTGGCCCTGTACACACTGATGATGGGACACACTTCTTCTTGTGTACTTCTACTTGCAACTGGCCCTGTACACACTGATGCTGGGACACACTTCTTCTTGTGTACTTCTACTTGCAACTGGCCCTGTACACACTGATGCTGGGACACACTTCTTCTTGTGTACTTGTACACACTGATGCTGGGACACACTTCTACTTGCAACTGGCCCTGTACACACTGATGCTGGGACACACTTCTTCTTGTGTACTTCTACTTGCAACTGGCCCTGTACACACTGATGCTGGGACACACTTCTTCTTGTGTACTTCTACTTGCAACTGGCCCTGTACACACTGATGCTGGGACACACTTCTTCTTGTGTACTTCTACTTGCAACTGGCCCTGTACACACTGATGCTGGGACACACTTCTTCTTGTGTACTTCTACTTGCAACTGGCCCTGTACACACTGATGCTGGGACACACTTCTTCTGGTGTACTTCTACTTGCAACTGGCCCTGTACACACTGATGCTGGGACACAATCTCCTTACCCAAACAATCACCATAACTTCCTTTCTTTATTTTATCTGGTTCTATGAAGCCGAAACATACTTCCTCTTTTTTCTTCTCCTATCTTTTCTTATTCTTTCTAGATTTAACCACTTTTTAAATTACTTTTTTTTGTAGCCACAGGGCGAATGAATATAACTTTTGTATAGTTGAATTGGATTTATTCCTGCTGGATTTGCATCCGAATGTGGCTGTCTGAGTCACTTCTTGTAAAACATTCAGGATGCAGGATGAGACAGACAGAGAGAGACAGAGTGAGAAAATAAATGAAAAAAGTTTATTTTCAAAGGGTAACAAATTAGTCATGCAGGCTTGTCTTACATTCAGCTCTTTCAAACACACATCTTTCAAACAGCAGTTGTATTTTATCAATAAAGCATGTTATGTTCATTTATTATTGTGCATATTAGGAATAATAAAAAAAACACACATAAAGACATGGGTGGTAAAATGCAATTGCACACACACAAGCCCACCCACTCACTCTCTTACAAACATACATATACATCCACACATATATATACATGCACAGTGCATACATAAATACATATCCACACACAGATACACATATGTACATACAAACACATACAAATACATATATACACACACATACTTGCATGCATACATACATCCATACACACACACCCACAGAGAGAGAGAGAGAGGCAAACAGACAGACAGAAGGGGAAGAGAGAGAGGCAGACAGACAGAGGGGGAAGAGAGAGAGGGAGAAAGATTTAGACTTTAAAAGTCATGCACTTATGATCCGTCTGCCCCTCTTGGACATTTGCTATAAACCCTACTGTGACCAGACCAAAATGGTTACAGAAGTAACCACAGCATAAATAAAATACATACTCTAACATCTCCAAGAGGCTGAAGTTCTGTAGCACAAGTGGAATCATCTGCAGATGCTGTGCTGGCAACAGCTTTCCATAAGCCAGCCATACAGGCCACGATGCGAGGCAGCATGCTGAGTAAGTGAGCTCTAGTCACCAGAACAGGTGATACTGGAGTCGTATCTCGGGTGGCTGGGCCGGGTTCCTGAGACAGGAAATATAATTCCATGTCAGATCTGGTGATAAATGGAATCTACTGATTCTTCAGTTAACTCTTTCCATTCCATGCAGACATTTTTATATTCTTAATACACAACTGGAAGGGTGCACAAAAGTTAGAACAGCATCTTATCAAGCCATACAATCTGTATGCTTGATGACATAAGGATGATGACCAGAATTGAAGATGAGGAGGAGAAAGCAAAAAGGAAGAAGATGAATGGAGGAGGAGGAGGAAGGTGGAGAATATAAAAATGAGGAGAAAGAAGGTAAAGAAGAGGTAAAAGAAAAGCAGGAGAATACGTATCTAAATTATAACAGCATCAATGACGATGATGATGATGATGACTGAATACCTTTCCACTCAAAACCGGGTTGAAAACATGAACGAGGTTGGCCAGGATCTGCCCTGCACTAGTTGTCTCAACAGGGATGTTAGCACTGGCTGGAGCAGGTTGACATATAGATACAGGGTTGGCATTGTCCATCAGGCAGTAGTGATACAGGGTTGTCAGACCCTCAAGCATGCAGACAAGATAATCTGGAGGAAGTCTCTGGACACTGGGCCTGAGGACAAACAAGTCAATGGCACAGAATGGATTCTTCATTACATAAATATTTTAATTAACCCAACCTGAGCATATATACCATTTTCACTTTAAACTGAACACTCTTCAAACCAGACTGGATAATTTTCAAACCACCTAGGATGTTTTTCAAACCAAACTGGACATTTTTCAATTCACATAGGACACTTTTCAAAGCAAACTTGACACAGTTTATTTTCAACAATTAATACTTCCGAAACAAGAAAGTAATGTGTCGTGACAAAGAAAATCACATGGTACAAGATGAAAGTTAGTTTATGAAAGACGGTCCTGCTGCTGTCATCAAGTTCATCATCAAATGGAGGATGTAGTTTGTGCAGTCTTGCTGTGTGACTGTTCCAATGCTTTCTTCAATGACCATGCTTGTTGTTCGTCCATCACAAGTGATGATGACCAGTCTTTTTGACCCAATGGTGACAGGATTAGGTTTTGTGCACTGAACGTTCTTGAGCAGTGTGGACAGGGAATAGAAGCCGCATCTCTCTGGTATTTGCTTCAGTGTCTTTCCTGGCTTGTCTTTTCTGAATTGCTGCTGCAGTTCTAGCAGCTTCATGGGCCACAGCTCCTCACTGAAGAGAGAAGTGCCAGGATGAGCGGTCACATGCAGCGACTTCCCAGATTTAAGGATCAAAATAGAAGTCTTTCAGTGAGGCCTGAGGCTGTCGAAACATTTCTATTGTCCGCCTTGAGAGAGTTTTCCTTTTAGTAGCTCACCATAGAAAATTCTTGTTGGCAGTCAGTGGTCAGGCATGCGGACTACATGACATGTCCAGCAAAGTTGTGATTGTTTTACAATTGAGTAAATACTGGACAGTCCAGCTCTGTCAAGGACTTCAGTGTCAGTGTCCTGTCTTGTCATTTTATGTTCAACAACTTTCTGAGGCACACAGTGTGGAAATGGTTTAACTTCTTATTATGGCGCTGGTAAACGGTCCACTTTTCAAACACACAGAGAAGTACAGGGAGGACGACAGCTTTGTACACGTTGAGCTTCATCTGCAAGCTAATGTCAGTTCTGTTCCAGACTTTTGTACGAAGTCTACCAAATGCGCTGCCATCTTTGGATATCCTTGTATTAATCTCCAGATCAACTTTCTGATCATGTAAGCTGCCAATATATGTAAACCTGTCTACTGTCTTTAGTGTACTGCCCTTGACTATGATGTCTGGTTCGGGTAGACTTGTTCATGGGGCTGGCTGGAACATTATTTCAGTTTTGTCAGTGCTTTTGACAAGCCCAAAGTTTGTACGGGCTTCGGATAATTTGGTTACACTATGTTGTAGTTCAGGCTCTGAGCTGGTCTCTCTCTCTCTCTATATATATATATATATATACACACACACACCTTTCTTTTTCTGTCTCGTTCTATATATATAGACAGAAATAGAAAGGTTCATTTGTGTGTGTATGTGTGTTTGAGAGAGAGAGAGAGAGAGAGAGAGAGAGAGAGAGAGAGAGAGAGAGAGAGAGAGAGAGAGAGAGAGAGAGACAGAGACAGAGAGACAGAGAGTGACTGAATGAATAAATCATTAAGTGAATGGACATCATTGCACTCAAAATATTCCCACATGTGCTCTGTCCTCGTCCCCATAAGCCAAAACAGAGTTTCTATACGACTATTGCAATTAGGATTAATTAAGTAAAAAAAAAAAACATGCATATGATTAAAACAATCAAGATGTAAATATTATAAGTTACTGATCTTCTAAGTACAACCTAATAGAGAAAACATCAACAAAAACTTTAGCACAGCTAACAGAATAACTGCGATAATTAGGTTTCATAAGTTAGCAAGTTTTCTGAAAGTAACAGGTGCAAGCCTTCAGCCTTGACATGACCACACATCACATCAAGTCCCAATGCTGTCCGTCACACAGTCTGTCCATCACCAATCATCATCTTGCTTTATGGCCACATGACATTTCTGACCAATCATAAGCAAGATAACAAAAGGTAGGAGCATGGACTGTAACTCTGTGCGCAAGGATTAACATCATCATTAGGCTTGTTTGTCTTGACCAGACGACATCAAACTGTCACAAAATACAATCAACCTTACATTTTCTGGATGATCTCGGAAGCTGTCAGCTCCAGGATACTGCACAGCTGCAACACGACACTGACAACCATCCGAGGCATGGCCTGGCCCATGTGGGGTAGAACTGAGGTGACCAGATGCACCCAGTGTGTGTGGAGGTGGTGGAGCTGAGGTTGTCTCAGAGAGCTCAGGACTGCAGTCAGCAGCATGTCTTGTTGTATGACTGGCAGACTTGGGTTGTAGTGCAGGTTCTCATGGGGATACTGGGAAAAACAGCAAATATCTTTGTCATTTTCTAGAGGCATGTGTGTAATCTGCGGTCAGAAAAGTGCAATGGGAAGATATATTCGGATTTACAATAAGGGGCTTGATGTGGTAAGGGATTTAACATCCAAAACAGCTTTATGTATTTAAAAAAGTCTTTTATTTATAACCTTGCCTTTCACATCTTTTTCTGGCTAGTATTCATGTTCTGAATTCACACGTATCCAAGAGCTTTAACTTAACAGACAGATGTGTGGATTTTTGTGGGAGAGATCTCGGTCAAGTGATTTTATGTATTCTAATGTAACAAACTCCATTTATGCTTTGTGCTGATGAAGTCTTTTGTGTGTGCTTGTGATAATGTGCGGCTGACTGATTCTACTGTTCTTTTCCTGATGATGATATTTCATGTGTATGGAAAGGCCTTTTCTTAAGTAATCCAAAACCCTGAGGTTCACTGCTGCAGACAGAACCTACCTCTACTCATTTGTAAGATTTGTCATCTCTTTCCAGTTGTTGACCCCAACCGTTTGCCAGTTTGCCAGTATATTATCTCTGAACCGTCTTTTCCTGGTCTGCCTTGTGGTCTCCTCATTTTCAAACTCATCTGTAGGCATATTATTTGTTTCCCTCTTATCTACACAAGACTGGGATGTTCAAAATGTTTGGACAAACATGTGAAAATATGTATAGATATGCAGGTGAAGTATTCTGATGAGAACATATGTGTTTTCATGTGTGGGGTGGAGTAGAAGGCTCAGTAACACTTGGTTAGTCTCAGTGTTGACTTGGCACTTATACAATGACAAAAAAAAAAAATGACACATCTCCACCCATGCTGTGGCAATAGACTAGGTACATAACCTTCCTGGACAACAGCGATAAACTCTATGAGGCACATGTGAAGAAAGAACAAAAATCAATCTTGGCAGACAGGAACTGAAAGCAGCTGGCCATTTGGAGTGATGCCAAGACAAAATTTCCAATTAGTCATTAGCCACACACAAAACATTTTGGTATGCATTTTCTATGTGTACACATTTCGATTCTCAATAACGATATCAAGGAGTGGTCAAGTGACTAGAATCTGGGCTCTCATGCAGGAGACCCTGGTTTAAATGTTTATTAAAGTGAAGAGGCAAAAATAAACATTCTAACCTGTAGAGTTTGTGAAGACTGTCCAAGCCATGCTGCATTAAATCCTCATGACCATGACCCTCTGTCCTTCCCCATTATAAACAGTGGTAAACATGACCCTCTGTCCTACCCCATTATAACAAGTGGTAAACATGACCCTCTGTCCTTCCCCATTATAAACAGTGGTAAACATGACCCTCTGTCCTACCCCATTATAAACAGTGGTAAACATGACCCTCTGTCCTTCCCCATTATAACAAGTAGTAAACATGACCCTCTGTCCTACCCCATTATAAACAGTGGTAAACATGACCCTCTGTCCTACCCCATTATAAACAGTGGTAAACATGACCCTCTGTCCTACCCCATTATAACAAGTGGTAAACATGACCCTCTGTCCTACCCCATTATAAACAGTGGTAAACATGACCCTCTGTCCTACCCCATTATAAACAGTGGTAAACATGACCCTCTGTCCTTCCCCATTATAAACAGTGGTAAACATGACCCTCTGTCCTACCCCATTATAAACAGTGGTAAACATGACCCTCTGTCCTTCCCCATTATAACAAGTGGTAAACATGACCCTCTGTCCTTCCCCATTATAACAAGTGGTAAACATGACCCTCTGTCCTACCCCATTATAAACAGTGGTAAACATGACCCTCTGTCCTTCCCCATTATAACAAGTGGTAAACATGACCCTCTGTCCTTCCCCATTATAACAAGTGGTAAACATGACCCTCTGTCCTTCCCCATTATAACAAGTGGTAAACATGACCCTCTGTCCTTCCCCATTATAAACAGTGGTAAACATGACCCTCTGTCCTTCCCCATTATAACAAGTGGTAAACATGACCCTCTGTCCTTCCCCATTATAACAAGTGGTAAACATGACCCTCTGTCCTACCCCATTATAAACAGTGGTAAACATGACCCTCTGTCCTACCCCATTATAAACAGTGGTAAACATGACCCTCTGTCCTTCCCCATTATAACAAGTGGTAAACATGACCCTCTGTCCTTCCCCATTATAACAAGTGGTAAACATGACCCTCTGTCCTTCCCCATTATAACAAGTGGTAAACATGACCCTCTGTCCTTCCCCATTATAAACAGTGGTAAACATGACCCTCTGTCCTACCCCATTATAAACAGTGGTAAACATGACCCTCTGTCCTACCCCATTATAAACAGTGGTAAACATGACCCTCTGTCCTACCCCATTATAAACAGTGGTAAACATGACCCTCTGTCCTTCCCCATTATAACAAGTGGTAAACATGACCCTCTGTCCTTCCCCATTATAACAAGTGGTAAACATGACCCTCTGTCCTTCCCCATTATCAACAGTGGTAAACATGACCCTCTGTCCTACCCCATTATAAACAGCGGTAAACATGACCCTCTGTCCTACCCCATTATAAACAGTGGTAAACATGACCCTCTGTCCTTCCCCATTATAACAAGTGGTAAACATGACCCTCTGTCCTTCCCCATTATAACAAGTGGTAAACATGACCCTCTGTCCTTCCCCATTATCAACAGTGGTAAACATGACCCTCTGTCCTACCCCATTATAAACAGCGGTAAACAGAGACAGTACAGACTGAGGCTATAGTGACTGTGCACTCAGCTGGGAAGAGACTGTGATAAGTGATCCTTTACAAACACAATTTTTGTTTCAGGAGTTAACAATTTACCAGAATGTAGCAGTGCTGAGCAACATGTGGTAATGAACCAGGACTAGGGCTCAAACTGGCCAAGACCAGCCTACACCTCTTGGTGGTCATCCTAGCACAGGTTCCCAACCAGCTGCCTGGCCAATGTGGATAGGACTGATGTTTCCTTCCACATCAATGTGCATCTGCCTCAGAGTCAAGGAACCAACAGACTGCAGACAAATCAGCCAAATCTGTCAAATGGATGTGCAAGCAAAACTCATCCTGGAACAAGGTTCAAAGTCCGGAAGTGAACAGGAAACCAGGACTTTACAGCTGGTGAATGTGAAGAACAAGGAAGAAAATTTACCTACCATAAACTGTGGTCTTGGTCGCTCAGATGCAACAGGATGACCAGCATCTTCCCCAACAGCACACATGTGATCCTGAAGCTTGATCACTACCTGGACCAGCTGTAGCAACTTGATCTGGAATGTGTTCCTGACATCCGGGTCCAAGTTACTTTCACTGTAGTCCACCACTGTCTGTATGCACCTGGCTCTGTCTGTTGCAGCATTGTTCTTGGTGCTGACAGTTGTGTGGTCACACACGGATGCCAGCAGCCGATGCAATACCATTTTCTGCAGCCGGCATCGAGATATCAGGTCAGAAATGTAAGACACAAAATTCCAGCCGCTGTCCTTCATAACGGCCAACAGTTCGGACACCAGCAGGGTCAGTACTTCCACACCTTGCATCTGTACCTGGAGGGAAACACATGAAATCTTAAAAACAGTCTTGAACATGGAGGCCAGGTACAAATCAGTGCGATGTAACAAACAAACAAAACGAAGCCAAAGATGTTTGATTTCACCATTATGATGAGACAGTAGATCATACATTCAGTTTTCTCTGATCATGAAATTACTGATAATTACTGACAAGTTACAGGACAATTCACAATATTGCTGAACTTTAATACAAAAATACCAGACCCTGAGACAGAACGTCTGCTAGATCCTGTCATACAGAACAAAATTATTGGACCTAGAGAAACAGAACAAAATTACTTGACTCAGAAAAACAGAATGAAATTACTGGATCCATGAACAAACAAGCTTACTAGATCCTGAGACACAGAACAAAATTACTGGACCAAGAGAAACAGCAAAGTTACTGGTCTGTAAACATTGAACAAAATGTAAAAAACAATATTAAAAAAAAATTTACAAAAAAAAAAACTACCAGACCCAAAGACTGAAAAATTACAGGCCCCAGTACTGTGAATAAAACTACTGGGCCTAATAACACAGAACAATATTACTAGATCTCAAGACATGGAACAAATTTACTGTGCTTTATGATTGAAACAATACTGAAACAGCATTAAAAAAAAAAACTTGACAAAAAAATGACAAGAAGAAGAAACAGAAAGCTAGTGATTAAACTCAATAACTTTTTTTTAGGCCAGAACTCACCATCTGGTTCCCATGCAGATCCTCACTGGAAAGTTTGGCTGCCACAAGGCTTGAGTAGTAGCTCTGCATAAAGCGAAGGCACACGATGATGATGATTTCAATGTACATTTTAGTTCGGAAACCCGACAGAGCCTCAGGGTCAAGCTCTGTGAAAAAGTCGTCGCCAAACACACACCTGTGATGTCGACCTGACAAGGATAAAGTAAACATTACAATACTAAGCAATAAAGTAAGGAAATAAAAGTGTTGTTAAAGACAAACACAATACCATTACTAGAAAAGGTGATCCGTGAAGAATGATTCTGAAAAATTATTAAAGCACAGCTAAGGAACAGTTAAATTATTAAAAAGTTTTCAATTAAAAAAAACAAAAAAACATCAAACATTCCACCCAAAAATTATCAATGATGTAACACTTATGTGAAATTTGTACACATAAAAGATAGTCGTTTAAAAGGATGAACTAACTTTACAATCAAGCCAGAACTGTAACTTCCCCTAATGATTCAGTAAGGATTATAAATTTTCTAAGACTGACTCACACAGCAAGGGTTGTCACTTCATTCAGGCCGACTCACCCAGCAAGGGTTGTCACTTCATTCAGGCTGACTCACCCAGCAAGGGTTGTCACTTCATTCAGGCTGACTGACTTAGCCATCAAGGGTTGTCACTTCATTCAGGCTGACTAACTTAGCCAGCAAGGGTTGTCACTGCATTCAGGCTGACTTAGCCAGCAGTTGATGTAACTTAGTTAAAAATAACTTACCTAGCAAAGACTGCAGATTCAGCAGCTGGGTTGCTCTCAAGGAACTAAGACTTGTGGTTGACAGTGCAGTCACCAAGAGCCGTGGGCAAGCCTGCAACATGATCCGTAAGGTGGACATGGCATACAGAGTGCGGCTGTAATCAAACTGCTGTGTGTACAACAGCATATGCTCATGCAACTGCTGAACATCCATCTTAATATCTACACACCTGGCATCTGCTGACTGATTTCCTTTTCTTTTGGACACAACACTGTCATCAAAATCAAAACGTCCTTCATTTCTATCTGAGCTATGAGTGAAGTTAAAAGATACATCCCCAGCATTAAACAATCTTTGGCTGCCTTCATTATCTCCATCAGAAAGTGAATCTAGGCTTCCAGAACTGCCGAAGGGCCCCAGTGTCTTTTCTGAACCATCATCACTTTCGCTAAGGGTTTCAAAATCAACTGCTTCGACCATAGCAGAGGATATAATGCCATCCATGATCCACTGAGCTACATCCTTGGAAGAGCTGCAACTGTTATCTGAGTGTCCTTTCAAGTCTCTGTATGCCTGTGTTCTGTCCTCAAATAAAGGAGAGATGGCTCCAGATCCAGGGCCCCAACCTTTGTCTGTATTGTCAAAGCTTTCTTTTCTGAACACATCAGATGCTAGCTTGTTCATCCCATATGCTGCTACCTGAGGATAATCACTGTCAGCAAAGATCAGCTTGTCCAGTGAGTTCTGTGAACCAAAGCCGTTTGCCAGAGCAATGTTGTTTTCCAAGTTGATGCTGACATGAGGGTATGTTTGTGCAGAAGTATATCTGTACTCCCTCTCAGAGAAAGAGTCCTGTTTCAGGTCTTCGGTCGCCTTCTGCAGAACCTTCTTGTTTGTCCGCTGTAAATGTTTGTCTTGGCTCTCAGGCAGCATAATGCTATTTCTCTCAGAGGTGACAGAAAATAGTTCTGGAACTATGCCCTTTTGTCCTGTATCAAAGAGGCTCACTCTCTTTGCCTTGTCAAGGTCCACATGCTGGATGGAAACTCTGTGAAAGTAATAATTTATTATTTGATTAATGTCAAAAATCTTAAAACATCTCCAGGTAATTTCAGTTATCAAAGTATGCGCGAGAACTGACTCTTTTCCACGCAAATAATACTAAAGAGCTCCTTCTTTGTTCACTGGTTGTAAACTCTGACGGAGTCTTGCTTATTTGGATTTTTGACTTTGTGCCAGGGCCTGAATTTTGCGAGTAAATCCTTTTTACTGACTAATTTGTGTACAGTTGGTTGTTCTTTGCTGCTTGGGCAGATTCACCCGTTAGTCGACTCCTAGGACATGCTTGTTGAGGATGCAATAGGTCTATTCTACTTTTCCGCACAACGAGGCCCCATAACCCACACAGGGAATACCTAAGAAGAAGATCTGTATTTAACACTGAAATGTAGCGGAATTATAGAACAAAACAGCTTTGCTTACATAACTACTCAAATTACTTTTAACAAACCATTTAAAAGGTGAAAACTGCAATGGGGTTGACATGTAATATGATCTGCTGATCTTTCCAAAACCTTACAGGGCTGGGTACAAGGAAAGAGGAGATGAAATAGGCCAAGAAAGACCTAGATTCAAACTCTGGATGAAAGAACAGGTCTAAACAGCATCAAGTCCGATCCATGATCATAAACCATAAATTGAAACTCTGATTAAACTGCACTATTTTTTTTGTTTCAGAATTAAATATTCTCAGTTCAGCTTGTTTGATTTGTGTGTGTGTGTGACCTCCAACAATTTTTGAGTGCTAAACTGCAAAATCTGGAAATATAAATTAACTTTCTCTCTCTCTTTCCAGAAATGCTAAAAACAATAAGGCAAGAACCAGTGGGAATTTTTGAAAAAATCCTTTAAAAAAAAAAAACCCACCTGATAAGGCCATTAATACATCTAAAAAAAATGTATTTATCTACATTAAAAACAAAAATAATAATAAAATAAATATATTTTAACCCTTTGGAGACGATGCAGCCAAAGTATCGGCCCAACACACAGTAGCCAAAAAAAGGGCTGGGCCGAGTGGTCGGCCCTGTCTATGAAAGCCTTGAGTTTGGCTGGCAGGTTTTCATACCAGCCAATCAGATTGCTTGTGGCATTTCTTGCACGTGGGCTGTTTAATGACGGCTTTTGAGAAATTTTGATGTGTTCTATAATTTTACAGCCATTTATTTTGTACCTGTGCCCACAGATGGCGAAAAAGCCTTGTGCGTCATAGCAACCGAAACAGCAAAAGGCATGAAAATTAGAACAACCATATGCGACAAGGGTTTGAATGGCCTCCATGGACCTTACTTCCCAAAACATAAGTCTTAGGACTTATTCAGGCTTCATTCATAAACAAATTCAGACACATTTTTCAGGTTAGTCATGTTTGTTCTCAAGTTTAAAAAAAAATACTTGCATAAATTATGCAAATCATAATAGATAATTTGAATAAATGTTGAGATTTCGGTTTGGTTTACATATATTCTGTTAGTTCATTCATTTTCCTCCCCGAATATATATAGTTTTGTATATGTTTAAATAATTTTGTTAGCGTAAACTATGAGAATCCTTCCCTGAAGGCCTTATCTTTTTTGGCATTGAAACTACAAAAAAGCTCCAAAAGGCTTCAGGGAGTAATCAATAAACATGACTGGTGAAGCAGTAAGTGGAATACATTTCCTGGGACCCCAAAATGTATCAGGTGACTCATAAAATGACTTCATCGGAATTCTAACACTAAGGCTATGGACAAATTATTACTTTAAATAGCTTAGAAAAGACCATTTAGTTCACAAGAAAACCCCTCTAAATACTACTTTTAGTCAATATATTCTTACCCTGTCCTGCTAAATGCTGTAGAGGTTCAAACACAACCAACATCATTAACTATACTTCTCCAGGACAAGCCATGGGCAGCCATGTCAGGTAGGGAGCATTTATGGAAACTGATTTGTAGTGTCTCGGGTGAAAGGATTTGAAACTTGTACTAAATAAGACAACTGAACACTAATATCCAATCAACCTGCTTTAACGACCAGAAACATACAGAACCATTTTCATTTGCCTATCTTTGCCTGTTCCCACAGTAGTGAACCTCACCTGACTTGTGTCCTGACATACCTGGCAGTGTCTGGGTGTAACAACGTCAACAGCAGCGGCTGCAGCACTCGGTTGATGTCTCCCTGCTGAATCACATGAGTCAGCCAGGTCAGTGCCAATGTCTTGGTGATGCTGGATTCCTCCTTCAGACTGTCCAACATGACAAACATGGACCTGGGAACAGGTGCGTCACAGATCAGAACTGTGTGAGATTAAGGCAAGCATACAAACTGGCTATGAATCTTCTAGAGCAGTGCTGCCCAACTTGTGGCCCGCAGAACAAATTTAAGGGGTTCGTAAAATCACTTAGGAAGAAATATTAACCCCACCTTTTCTGTGTAGTTTGATTTTAATAAATGCTAAGAATATCTTTCTCTTTTTCTTAGCATTCACTGGTTGTAAACTCCAGTAGAAAGTTTGGTTGTTCATCCAATTCTGGACTTTGGTCCAGTTCCAGAACTTGAGTTTTGCGTCACATCCACTTTACAGATCAAGCTTATTTGTATGCAGCTTGTTGATTCCTTGCTTCTCAGGCGAATTCCTTCGGGGGGGGGGGGGGGGGGGGGGGGGGGGGGGGGGGGTCTATTCTGTTTACCCACAAAATGGGGCCCAGGAATCTATTTGTCAGTCAGTCAGTCAGTCAGCCAGTAGCATGTTCTTTGCAGAAGCTTGCTCCCATAACAACCTTGAGGAAAACTTCTCCATCACAAGCAAGATGTCCCCTGAATAAGAATAAAGATTAATTTTATTTTTTTTATATATATTTTGTAATCACTATTAAAGAGCAGGGTTTGTGTGGTGGACCTTTGAAGATAATAGGAGTCTGCAGGTCTTATCTAATTGAGAACTACTGCTCTAAAAGAGGCACATTCTAACTCAAATACACTGACATTCTGGTTGTTTAGCATTGATTGGGATGTTGTCGCAAAGCTCTCCTTTACCTTTTCAAACTAAGAAACCAGAAAGATGCATAAAGCAGCCACAAGAACTTTACATCTAGATCATTCTACTGCTGAAAGTTGTCATTTAAGTTTACTGCAGTGCAGACGGTAGTCATTTCGGGTCATTTTAACATAAAGAGTTATCACTTTAGTTCAATATAACCCAGGTACCACTTTACTTGTCAGTTCATTGTCACTTCAGCAGTTCATGTTGTCATGAACAGTTGTCACATGCACAATTTTAGGCTGTAAAAATAAATGCCAAATGTCCTGGGACAGACAAGAAACAGACTTACCATATACTACTAACATCAAATGTCCTGGGACAGACAAGAAACAGACTGTATCATGACTTATCAAATGTCCTTAGACGGGTAAGAAACAAGTTTTAAAATGTGCTACTGACCTGTCAAATGTCCTGGGACTGGGGGACAGACTGATGTCAGTTGACATGGACCGGGTCAAATGCCACAACATGCTGAACTTCTTGAAGGCAAGTATCCTCACAGCCTGCAGATCACAGGGTTAGTTTTTCTTGATGATGATTTTGTTTAGGAAATACAGTAGAGGAAGAGAAACTCAGATATCAAGATAATAGAACAAAGTTACAGGCAAGCATGGAATGACATACCAAGACATATGGATAATGATACACAGAACACTCACACACAAGTGTTGTAATAAAATATGGATAACGAAACACAGAACATTAAAACACAAGTGCTGACACAAAATATGGATAATGAAACATAGCACTCACAAGTGCTGGAACCGGATTATAAAGGAAGCTACCGTGGTGTAGTGGCTATACCAGTGGTTTCCAACCGTTTTTTTTTTCAGATGGCGTCCCTTGAATATATGGAAAAACACCTCCCCGTCCCACACAACTAAATGTGATTAAAAAGAGGACAGACAGAAAAATCTTAAGCACTGTTAACAAGAACTTGGAGAAAATCATCCACAAAAATCAAAGTGTTAAATAACAAAAGAAAGAACCACAAACAACTGGTAATTTAGTGCATAAATATCAATCCGATAGTTGACACTGTTTTGTCTTGATATCTGCTACTTTTGGTCTGATGCTGGACAAGGCACAACGGGAATCACTCTCCCCAGCAAGCTGGCAATGCTTTATTTTGTTTTCATGACTGTTGAAGATGAACAATCTGGATTATTACAAAGACAAATGCACTCAATTTCGAAACGGCTTAATGCCAACTAAACTTACCAATGTCTCCCTAAGGAAGTGCACCCTCCAAACCCAAGGTTGGATACCACTGGATAGACACTTGGCTGCGGATCCGAAGGTCATGTGTTTAAATTCAAAAAGAGCTGGACAATTTTCTTCAAAAAAAATGACCTTGGCTCCCAGGTCAGTCCAGCCTTAAATGAGTACCAGGTAAAGTCCTGGGAAGTAAAAGCGACTGGCATGGTGTTGAACCACTCAATGAATGAGAAGCAAAAAGAGAAGAAGAAGAAGCAGAAGAAGATGAGGATGAGGAGAAGAAGAAGAAGAAGAAACAGAAGTTTAATAGGAGCACTCCTGTAACAAACCTCAGACTCATGAATGAGATCATGACCAATGACATCCTCACAGACAGTGGACTCCGGCGCCAGCTGGTGCAGCGTGTGGAAGAGTTCAGCAGCTCTCTGATGGTATGCAAGGTGTGTCTCTGACATGTACTCCCACAATTCTCCTGCCACAACCTGACACACAACATGTGAAACGTTACGGGAACTGCACACAAGAACAATGATACAGACAGGTGTCCACACAACCTGACACACAACATGTGAAACATTACGGGAACTGAACACAAGAACAATGATACAGACAGGTGTCCATACAACCTGACACACAACATGTGAAACATTACAGGAACTGAACACAAGAACAATGATACAGACAGATGTCCATACAACCTGACACACAACATGTGAAACATTACAGGAACTGAACGCAAGAACAATGATACAGACAGATGTCCATACAACCTGACACACAACATGTGAAACATTACAGGAACTGCACACAAGAACAATGATACAGACAGGTGTCCACACAACCTGACACACAACATGTGAAACATTACAGGAACTGAACACAAGAACAATGATACAGACAGGTGTCCATACAACCTGACACACAACATGTGAAACATTACGGGAACTACCCACAAGAACAATGATACAGAGGTGTCCATACAACCTGACACACAACATGAGAAACATTACGGGAACTACACACAAGAACAATGATACAGAGGTGTCCATTCAACCTCACACACAACATGTGAAACATTACGGGAACTACACACAAGAACAATGATACAGACAGGTGTCCATACAACCTGACACACAACATGAGAAACATTACGGGAACTACACACAAGAACAATGATACAGACAGGTGTCCATACAACCTGACACACAACATGTGAAACATTACGGGAACTGCAGCACACAAGAACAATGATACAGACAGGAGCGGAGCAACTATGGGGTGACCCGTTGAAGCTGAAACTAGGATTACCAGAATACCAGATTACCAGAATACCAGACATACAGGTGTCCATACAACCTCACATACAACAATATGCCTTTCAGAGAGGTTGGAAGAGAGGAATGGAGAGAATAAGAGAGAGGGGAGAGGAGGAGAAAGATGGAAAGGGAAGTGAGAGAGAAGGAATAAACTTTATTTTCAAAGGGTCACAAATTTAGCAACTCAAGCCTGACATTTCCAAATATAAATTTTTCAGAAGACAACTGTATTTTATCAATAAAGTGTGTTATGTTCACATAACAATTTACATAATACATTTATTCACACCCATGCATATACTCTCCTACATACATACTCAAACATTCATACATATACAGACACTCAAACATACACTCATAAATACACATACATGCACCCACACTCAACCGCAACTGTCAACGCGTCCAAAACTCTGTATGTCCAAACCTTCAAGTCCCTCATCTTTGTCCTCTCAAGGTCCAGCTAATTTAGTTCCCCTTTGTTTCATGTTCTGCCCAGTCCCCCTTTGTCTCGTGTTCTGACCAGTTCCCCCGTCCAGTCCCCCTTTGTCTCATGTTCTGTCCAGTCCCCCTTTGTCTCATGTTCTGTCCAAGCCCCCTTTGTCTCGCGTTCTGTCCAGTCCCCCTTTGTCTCGTGTTCTGTCCAGTCCCCCTTTGTCTCGTGTTCTGTCCAGTCCCCCTTTGTCTCGTGTTCTGTCCAGTTCCCCTTTGTCTCCTGTTCTGTCCAGTCCCCCTTTGTCTCCTGTTCTGTCCAGTCCCCCTTTGTCTCCTGTTCTGTCCAAGCCCCCTTTGTCTCATGTTCTGTCCTGTCCCCCTTTGTCTCCTGTTCTGTCCAGTCCCCCTTTGTCTCCTGTTCTGTCCAAGCCCCCTTTGTCTCGTGTTCTGCCCAGTCCCCCTTTGTCTCGTGTTCCGTCCAGTCCCCAGTTGTCTCCTGTTCTGTCCAAGCCCCCTTTGTCTCCTGTTCTGTCCAAGCCCCCTTTGTCTCGTGTTCTGTCCAGTCCCCCTTTGTCTCGTTTTCCGTCCAGTCCCCCTTTGTCTCGTGTTCTGTCCAGTCCCCCTTTGTCCCGTGTTCTGTTCAGTTACATTCAATTTGGTCAACTGTTAGGTAATCTGTCAATTCTTTCATCATTTTCAAACATAAGGCCAGTAACTTGTATGTTCTCATTTTAAGTGTACTGCCCTAAAATATCAGTCCATGACAGTCCAGAGGTGGACGAACAACCAGAACCTTCTACCAGAGTTTGCAGCTGGTGAAGGGAAAAAAGAAGAATACATGACTATATACAATAATGACAGGTAATAAAACGCGGACAACTCAATGTAGCATGTGAAATCACTGACACTGTCCATTACCTGATAGTAGCCAGTCTGCTGGCTAATGTAGGCTAAATGATGATTCAACAGACCAGGCAGAATGGCCAAAGTCCGCCCATCACTGACTGACTGTGGAGCCTGGTGATCAGACTTGATCTCCTGCCTCTTCTGTACAGCCTGACACAGACTCCCCAGCTCCAGCAACACTGACACAGAAATACTCCCAACCTCAAAACTGTCCACAAAACAGCTGCAGATCAACAAGTCTTGCAGCCAGTCAGGTAACGCTATTTTCATCTCTGAAACAAATCATTTCAGATCAAATGCCAACATTTTCATCATCATCGTGCGGTGCCGTTACATGTCACACAGGGCTAGCAAACTAACTCTCCATTCCATTTTTCTTCTTCTTCTTACCATTGGCCAACTGCAAACTCTGGTGGAAAGTTCTAGTTGTTCACCTGCTTCAGAACTTTAGTCTTGTTCCAGAATTTGAGTTTTGCATAACACATCCTTTTGTATAGATCTAGCTTATCTGAGTGTAGACTGTTGGTTCTTCATCTCTCTGTCAAAAACACTCTTAATTCAAAAGAAGCACCCCTAATTAGTCATCGGTCACCAATGTTTTCTTTTTCCCTCCAACAAGGGGCCCCAGAATCTACACAGGGAATTCCACTGTCTTCTGTGAAATCCTGAGTGGAATCCAGCACGACACTTTCTGACCCCTCTCACCAACATGTCTTACGTTTCTCCTGAAAATCCTCATTTAATCAGTTCACTTGTTTCAGTGCCTATTTATTTTTTACAATCTGACAAACAGGTTTAAATATGAGAAGATCTGCTGCAATGAACCTTAAATTAATCCGTATGACTTGGCCTTCCTGTGTAGAATCACTGGCTGTCCGATGAAGGCGCCACACAAAGCACAAGATCAGTAGCTCCAGTGTCAGACCCCAAAGATCTCTGGAAATAGTGCACTCATGAACAGAAAGTCTGAACATGAATCCATAACTTTAGGCAGCCAGGCAAATAGCCTGACCACTATGCCAGGAAACACCCCCAATTTTAGGGAGTGGAGAACCAAAGAATACAAAAGTTGCCATGACAACAACCTACATGACTGGGTACACCGAAAACAATGACAACATTTAAACGATAAGAGTTGAAAGAATATTTTTGGATATCAACAGGACAGAAGAAACCTCTATGCAGGGGATCACTCTTAAAAAAAAAGCAAAAAGAATTTGAGTTATTTAAAGAAAAATCAATCCATCAACAGACTGAATGAAAAACTGCAAATATTTAAAGTTTAACATCCAATGGCATTGTCAAGGCAGTGGTAAACATAACATTGATATTATTATTGTTGTTTCTTATATTCATACAGTCTTGATTTGCTGAACTCAAGTAGGCAAGTCTCTTCGAGAATCGAACCCTTATGGTAGTATCCACTTTTACCACTGCAAAAGAGAAATATGCTAAACATAAAACAAAGGCGTGATATCTCACCATTGTTGCCACACATCTGCCCAGGGACCACATCTGGCTCCACACAGCAGACAGGAACAGCAGCAAAGTCCACTAGCAGCCTACAGGCTTGTCTGTAAGCACACACCAGGTCATCAATGGAACCTTTCAACTGGAGCTTCTCCATGACACCTTGATCGGGCACAGTTCTCAAACATGATGATGATGGCATGGATGTGATATTGTCCATGCACTTAATGCAGAACTCAGCTGAGGTGAGGATGTTCTGCTGGCAGAATTTGTGAAAGAACTGATGGAAACTTGAGAAACAATGCTGCAGTAAGTTACAGCAAGTAGTCTTGGAGACAGCACTCTTGCTGGCCGTATCTGAACAACTATCTTCTTCACTCTCATTGGAAGTCAGTTTACTGTGTTTCCTTGGAGAGATCTCCCTGCTGTGAATGTTCTGTTCTTCAACAGTAACAGGTAATCTAATCACATCCGGTTCTAATGCAGGTGTTGCTGCTAATATGAGATCCTCAGATGATGCTACCACAATCTTCCCATCAGCATTCAGTATGACGGAGTCTAGTAGTTTATTGTCTAACCCAGAACTGTGGAGTCCTGATTGAGCTCTAGTGTTTTCTAAACAAATTTCATCTTCATGACTATATGAATGTGAGTTATTCACATTTTCTCCTTGAAGTTTCCTGTCAGCACGTGGGGAAGTTTGAAGTTCAATTTCAACATTGTGGTTGTTGTTACTATCTCCTACACATTTCATATTCTTATGTAGAGGAACCCATTCCTCTTTCACACGACCTGAATCTTTAGCATTTTCTAATCTAGAGGCTCCCCCTTTCTGGTGTGAACTAGAAACTTCTCTTTCCTGTAGAGAGGAACTGAAAGACAAACTGCTGGAATTGTGCTGGTACTTTCCTACATCTTGCTGCTCACACGTGGCTGAGTTTCTTTTGTGCTGTCTCCAGTTTCTGTTGTGAGAGCTGCCAGATGCTCTTGTGTGGTTGAGCTCTTGCCCTGGTATAGACTGTTGGATCTTTGAGAGAATCTTTGAGCAGAGACAGAGAAGGGTGGTCACCTCATGGTTAGTGATAGAGTTGCAGGCTGTGGTCAAGGATATAGTTATCTTTTTCAGGAAACTTGGCAGATGCAGTGTGCTGTTTTCTGCATGCAGTTCATCCTGAAAAAAAAATTATTAAACAATTCATTAATTAAAAAAAACTAGTTAATTAAAAACCATTAATTCTTTCAGTTCCTGAAACTTTTAACCCATTCCACTGTGTTACTTTAATCATGAATACTATGCTTACAACATCAGTCATTGAGTGAGACTGGTCTATGAGAAATATGACTCAATCACCATATACAAATACACATGTAATGTTAATAGGAAGAAAGAAGCAGAAGTAAAATTTAACAGTGATAGGCAAAGGTATTAAACAGGCATCTGAGTAATATATAGGATCAACATTCAACAAAGATATCAACTTTGAAATATAAATCAACTTCCAAGCAAAGTTTCCCAGTTGTAAATTTGAATAAAGAAAACACAAACAACAGATTGCACACTTTACCGCTTGGCAAATTTTTCTGTATCTCGCCAAATATGCCAGGTAATTGTGCAATCTGTTATTTGTGTTTTCTTTGTTCAAGTTAACATGCGTTGCAGTACAGTAAATAAAGTATGAGGACAGATACCCCTCCCCCCAAGCAAAAAAGAATCTCAAACAGCAAATAAACTGGTCTGCTTGATTAGAGTGAATGCCTCGTAATGCCACACCATGCAAGGAACACACCACACGAAGAGAGGGATTTAGAGCAACAGGTGGTAGACCAAGAACAAAAAGGACAGATAACACCATAGAAACTAAAACAGTGCAACGTGTCTTTGGTTGAGTTAGCTAGAAGAGCAAAAAGCAAAACCTTATATCTCCCTCAACAGTTGAAGTGGTGAAAGAGGAACTGAAGAAAAAGCAGAACCTTATATCTCCCTCAAACAGCTGAAGTGGTGAAAGAGGAACTGAAGAAAAAGCAGAACCTTATATCTCCCTCAAACAGCTGAAGTGGTGAAAGAGGAACTGAAGAAAAAGCAGAACCTTATATCTCCCTCAAACAGCTGAAGTGGTGAAAGAGGAACTAAAGAAAAAGCAGAACCCTATATCTCCCTCAAACAGCTGAAGTGGTGAAAGAGGAACTAAAGAAGAAGCAGAAGACTATATACACAAGGTGACACCAGGCATGGTCTAACTTTCCATGTCAAGCATGTTACACAGGACCAGTCAGAACAGATGGTTATTTTTGTGAAGATGCTTGCTTCTGGCTTTGGTAACTACCTCTGTCTCTATCACACAGGTTTAGTACAGTCTAAGATAGAGTCAGAAGTGTACACAACATTTTAGGGAAATAAAATAACACACACAACCTTCCAAAACACTTAAACAGTTTCCTCTATAGGCTAAGGTCTGGACCCCACTGTGAGATATTAACCCCACTGCCTCCATAGGCCAGGTTCTGGACCCCACTGTGGGATATAAACCCCACTGCCTCCATAGGCCAGGTTCTGGACCCCACTGTGAGATATAAACCCCACTGCCTCCATAGGCTAGGTTCTGGACCCCACTGTGGGATATAAACCCACTGCCTCCATAGGCTAGGGTCTGGGTCCCACTGTAAGATATAAACCCACAGACTCCATAGGCCAGGTTCTGGACCCCACTGTGGGATATAAACCCACAGACTCCATAGGCCAGGTTCTGGACCCCACTGTAAGATATAAACCCACTGCCTCCATCGGCTAGGTTCTGGACCCCACTGTGGGATATAAACCCACTGCCTCCATAGGCTAGGTTCTGGACCCCACTGTGGGATATAAACCCACTGCCTCCATAGGCTAGGGTCTGGGCCCCACTGTGAGATATAAACCCCACTGCCTCTTAAGCACGTCATAAAAAGCGACTAATTAAGGTTTTGGGAAACTGAATGTTTTAGGCCAAAAGGCACAAATATCACAACCAAGGCATAAACAACACAATGTGTGAACCACAATAATGGGTGAATGCAGAAAAAGAAGAAAACTTTTCCTGTGCTTCCACAAACAAGCAGTGCAGGACAATACCAACCACAGCAACAATGTCCAGGAGAAGCTCCGTGAGATGACACAGTTCAGATACCGTCATATTCTCCATCGGACCATGACAGCTCGAGGTACTGTTGTTACCCGCCTCATCCACCGAACTCTCACTGTTCTCTTTCTCATTTGTAAAACTCTCACTGAATTTACGAGCAAGGAAGTCCCAAATAAAACATGGTGGAAACAAGCCAATCAAACCATTGACAGCTTTATGTATCTCTGCTTGAAGAGAGCTGCTAGGTGAGACAACAGCATTCTCCTTTCCATCACAGCCTTGTAAACGGTAACTGGCTACAGCTTCCAACTGTTGGAAGACAGAAAGCAGAACACTCTCTATTACAACAGGTCCAATTTCTGGCTTGCTCATAAAGGTTTTCAGAATCTGTAGAACCTGCAGAGTAGCTGAGCAACTGCTGAGGTGACACACTGAAGAGCTTTCATCCCCTCTTGCCAATTTCCTCTTCAGGGCACAGATCAGCACATCTCTGGAGTAAAGCTGAAATACACAACAAAAACGTAACCAATAATGTGAGATACCTCAGTAGAAAGGTAGCCTTCATACTATACACTGGGGCATTGTGTACATGGTGCTGGACAGATTTGTATAGACTACTCTACAGACCACCTTCACTTCCCAGGAATTTTCTCGTACCCATGTTAGACTAGGTCGACCTGGGAGTATAGATTACCTTAAAAAGGCTTCAAATGGGATTTAGACCTATGGCAACCAAGCCAGCAAGTGAGCATGCTAGCTAATAGGTCTTTTTAAAACAAAGCCCACCGTGGTGTAGATCTGAACTCAAGCCTCAGCCTCTGAACCACCGAGGTGTAGATCTGAACTTAAGCACCTAGCCTCTGAACCACCGAGGTGTAGATCTGAACTCAAGCCTCAGCCTCTGTACCACCGTGGTGTAGATCTGAACTCAAGCACCTAGCCTCTGTACCACCTTGGCCCCAATTCTGTTAGATACACACTATAAATGTTTTTATGGCATTTTTAAGGAACAATACTGGCAGCAGAAGGAGATGGTGGCACACAATGCAGACAAAAGATGGAATACTGAGAGCAGCAACGAAGATCAGAAGTAAGGCAATAAGATCTGGTTCAAGCAAAACACTTCCTACTGAGGTTATGGACAAGAGATAACATTTCATAAGACCTGGGTGTACTTTTAAACATCCCTCGGCAGTTGGAAATTCACAGCTGCCTGGGAACATTTCCAATGTAGGAAAACTACCACCAACAAGAGGAGCCACAATGAGTGATGTCAGTTTTGGTTTATGCTGCCCCAACATTTGGGCATTTCATGTTTAGTCTCAGATGTTAATGGAACCAATTAACATCATCAATTTCCACTTTTACTGTTAAGTGTCATGGGGAGGAACAGTTTGTGATCCAATGCTTGATGAGTGACAATAGCAATTGTTACTCCATGTGGATGGGGAGTTGCCATGGCTGAGCGGCTAGACGCTCGCCGCGGATCGGAAGGCCGTGGGTTCGCTCCCTGGTGGAGACGGACTATTTTCAAAAAATGACCTTGGCTCCCAGGTCGACCTAGCCTTGAGTGGGTACAGGGTGCAGTCCCGGGAAGTAAAGGCATCACCCATCTTGTGCCGATTGGTCTATAGAAATATAGGTCTAGCCCTATGTGCCCTATACGCCTAAAGGCGTGGAAAAGGGTCCTTTACTTAATAACCTACTCCATGTGGATGCAGAAAATCTTTAATGTCATCAATCTATGTTCTCCTAGGGTGACCTCTTGATTTCTCATTAGATGTTTTCCTGCGACTCGGTGCAGTGACGGTCGGTGTTCGAAACCGGGCGGTTACCGGGATTCATGTAGCCTCTAGGAAATGGGTAACACAGTTGACACTCTGGGTGAGGTGAGGAACATTGCTGTAGCTACAGAGTTACGTGCGGACGGCGACACAGGCGGACAGTTTCTTATCAGCTGTCCCTACTGGTGGCAGAGCACTTATGGTTTATAACTGTGTCCAATGACACTGGTTCACACCTCCCGACTTTACCTTTTTACTTTAGGTGTAGCACTTGTGTTGGTAGTGCTGTGGCTACATTATAATGAAATGATTAAACCATTTGATCTTCTGTTTCCCAACTAATTTGGCACTTAGTATTTTTACCACGCCTGTCCAATAGTAATTCTTAGAATAATCTGTAACAGTGAACTTTAGCTTTAACCCTAAATAAAAAGATACAGCAATTCGATTTTATTTAAAAAAAAAAAACGTTATCTTCCTGAGAAGAAATCAGCAGAGAATCGCCAAACATGCATTAAAATAGGAAATAAAGAGATTAAGGAGGTGAGGAAACCCAAGAGAAACCATAAGATAAATGTTGATGAAAGAGGCGAAAGCTGCTTGACTGGATTCAATTCATGATATTTAAGTGACTGTACAGGATAGAAGGGAATGGAGGAATAGACTGTGAGCCCTATGTAACATATTTAGGAATAACAAGATAATGAAGAATAATGAATTAAAAGGACCTTTTTCACACACTGGTCAATTCAAAAGGTGTGGCCAGCAAAGAGGTTGGCAACTATGCCAAAGTGGTTCCCTTGTTCAAGAGCTATTATCATCATAGCAATGTCACTGGGTGTCATTATCACTTGTTGCCATTTACTGTCTGATCTGATCCCTCCACCTCTGTTGGTGTTTACTGTCTGACCTGCTCCGTCCACCTCTGTTGGTGTTTATTGTCTGATCTGATCCCTGCACCTCTATTAGTGTTTACTGTCTGATCTGCTCCCTCCACCTCCACTAGTGTTTACTGTCTGATCTGATCCCTCCACCTCTACTAGTGTTTACTGTCTGATCTGCTCCCTCCACCTCTACTGGTGTTTACTGTCTGATCTGCTCCCTCCACCTCTGCTGGTGTTTACTGTCTGATCTGCTCCCTCCACCTCTGCTGGTGTTTACTGTCTGATCTGCTCCCTCCACCTCTGCTGGTGTTTACTGTCTGATCTGCTCCCTCCACCTCTGCTGGTGTTTACTGTCTGATCTGCTCCCTCCACCTCTGCTGGTGTTTACTGTCTGATCCGCTCCCTAAACCTCTACTGGTCAGATACAATGGACTTGTTATCTGCATGTTTGAGGTCTGTCCATTCAGCCAAATTTTGTATCCAAGTCTTTCTTGTTACCTTTACAGACATCCGAGTACATCAGTCCAATCCCATTCATTCTGTTCTCCAATACAGTTGCCACCTCAGTGATCTCAAACTGACAGTACCCAGTAGGAGTTGACTGGCATATCTTCTTTCTTTGCCCCACAACCGATTTCTGCATGGTTGTCCTTTCTTAAAGACAGGTGGTTCATCTTCTCTGACTCCTGTGTCTCAATGTCCCTGGAATGCAGCACATTTTGTATATCTGTCCTTTCTTAAAGACAGGTGGTTCATCTTCTCTGATTCCTGTGTCTCAATGTCCCTGGAATGCAGCACATTCAGTATATCTGTCCTTTCTTAAAGACAGGTGGTTCATCTTCTCTGACTCCTGTGTCTCAATGTCCCTGGAATACAGCACATTCAGTATATCTGTCCTTTCTTAAAGACAGGTGGTTTATCTTCTCTGACTCCTGTGACTTAATGTCCCTGGAATGCAGCACATTCAGTATATCTGTCCTTTCCATACTTTTTCATACTGAAGATACGATCTGTCAGCTCTTTCATTTCCTTTCACACTAGTATGCCCTGGTCTTTCTTGGTCTGTTTACGAGTTGAGAAAATATAAATTCAAAAGTATAAATACTACCTTGAAGAAATCAATGCCCGTCTCCCTAGTGGTTGTGGAATCATTGACTGACTGTCGACTGTGATGAGAATCAAAAGTGGGTGTCCCAAGAATCCAGGCATACAAGCGACGACTCAAAGAACCATCCTGGCAAAGAACAACCTTAATGGCAGCTTCCATAATTCTGACAAAATCAGCTCTCGTCAGCTGGGAGCAGTCAAGAGGAATCGCAAGATGGAGGAATTCTAGGATGTTTCTCTGGATGACTACACTTCTATTGTCAAGACAGGCACAAACAGCACCAACCTGTGAACAAAATCAAGGTTTGTGGTACAGCACTGGTTGTCTAACTGTGTCATTAACATCATCAAGTGCTTTGACAATCAGTAAGCCAATTTTCATTACTGCCTCTATGTGCCACTTTTGCTTTGTAGGCGGGTGGTTTCTGGGCTTCATGACCAGTAAGGTCGCACTGGACTGCATTTGAGATTGTATTTTTGTCCCCGAGAAAAAACCCACCTTACTGAGGATTCGAATGTGGGTCTCCCACAGACAGCCCAGTGTTCTTTTAACCATTTGACCAACCACTCCTCACAACTAGTAAGTAAATTCTTCTTCTTGTTCACCGGCTGTAAACTCCAGTGGAAAGTTTTGGATATTCGTTCACCTCCGGACTTTAGTCTTATTCCAGAGCCTGAGTGTTGCATGTACATCAGTTTGACACATCTGACTTATCTGTATGAAGACTGTTGGTTCCTTGCCTCTCAGGCAGATGTACTCCGACTTCGAAGGAAGCTCCCAGTTAGTCGACTCTTACGATATGCTTGTTGGGGAGGCAGTGGGTCTTTGCTTGTTTTCCCCCACAATGGGGCCCTGTAACCCACACAGGGAAGTAAGTAAATTAAATCAGGGACCCTTTTTATGCCAGTCACAAATCAGGTATATCAGGCCAGACTCATATTTTTACAGATCAGTCGGCACTCTATGGGTGATGTGATCAGCATCATGCAGGCCTCGACAATTAGTGTGGATGATCAGACACATCTCATCATCGCCAGCACAAGGTATCAACACAGGTGGCCAGCACAAGGTATCAACACAGGTGGCCAGCACAAGGTATCAACACAGGTGGCCAGCACAAGGTATCAACACAGGTGGCCAGCACAAGGTATCAACACAGGTGGCCAGCACAAGGTATCAACACAGGTGGCCAGCACAAGGTATCAACACAGGTGGCCAGCACAAGGTATCAACACAGGTGGCCAGCACAAGGTATCAACACAGGTGGCCAGCACAAGGTATCAACACAGGTGGCCAGCACAAGGTATCAACACAGGTGGCCAGCACAAGGTATCAACACAGGTGGCCAGCACAAGGTATCAACACAGGTGGCCAGCACAAGGTATCAACACAGGTGGCCAGCACAAGGTATCAACACAGGTGGCCAGCACAAGGTATCAACACAGGTGGCCAGCACAAGGTATCAACACAGGTGGCCAGCACAAGGTATCAACACAGGTGGCCAGCACAAGGTATCAACACAGGTGACCAGCACAAGGTATCAACACAGGTGGCCAGCACAAGGAATCAACACAGGTGACCAGCACAAGGAATCAACACAGGTGGCCAGCACAAGGAATCAACACAGGTGACCAGCACAAGGAATCAACACAGGTGGCCAGCACAAGGTATCAACACAGGTGGCCAGCACAAGGTATTAACACAGATGGAAGGCTGTCAATAATCATCTCATGACAATCTTTTACCATAACTCTTTCCGGTCATCACAACATATTTGTCTCTGTCTTTATGTAATCAGTCATTTTCTCCTCTGTATCTCATCTTCATAAACTATGCCCAATGGGTGGTCTTAAGAATAATGTATGAGTGAATAGAGTGTGAAGTCAAGGTAAACCTGAACTTTACAAGGCAATCGTGGATTTTGCGTAGGTGGTCAAAAGTTGTGAGAAAATGGACAGTGTGAGGAATGTGTAAGAACACTCTAGAAGGAAAGGAAGAGGCTACTGAAGCCAAGAGAAACCGAGTTAGTCTAGTCTTGTGTACATCCGGTCTTATTGGAGGTTGAAGTGCATGAAGCGAATGAATTCTGAATTGAATGAATCCTGAAATGAGACCTTGATTGCCTAAACGTTCCAACTTGGAGACATCTTGCCAATAAACCAATGACGACGCGGAATGTGCATGGTCAAGCAGAAATGGAACAATCCTTTACTTATATAAAAGTAAAAGGTAAAGTCGGGAGATGTGAACCAGCGTCATTGCACATGGTTATAAACCTTAAGTACTCTGCCACCAGTGCGGACAGCTATTAAGAATTGTCCGCCTGTGTCGCCGTTCGCACATAACTCTGTAGCTACAGAGACATTCCTCCATTTACCCCAGTGTATCACTCTGGTACCAATTTCCTAGAGGCTTTGTGAACCCCGGGAGCCGCCTGGTTTTGAACACCGACCATGGGCTGCAGCAAGTCGCAGCTGGATTTGAAAGCGAGCTTCTTATCGACTGCGCTAATGCGGCCCCGAATTTACTTATATAACAGCCTTTCATAGCATTGTACAGTCTCTGTATATGTAGATATACAGAGGAATAAACCATACTTCATGGAAACAAAATCAAATTCAGAGGTTCTGAGGACATGAGAAATGAAAAGAGAGCTGCCAAAGGAAATAAAAAAGATAACATTGCAGCCATATTTAAAGACATAACTCTTTATACAAGCCATACTGGGGTGGGGGGAAACCCTGAAGCAAGCAAGCAAGAGGCGGAAGATAATACAAGTGGGAGAACAACAGCATGAGATGGACGGAACAGTCTGAAATAGTGTACATCCAAGGTGTAAGACTGAACATGTTGGAGATACCAGACAGCTACCTTGCTGTGGAGATGTCAGCAGATTGACTGACTGATTAATTGATAATGCTAAATAAACAGCTGTTGAACTGTCATGTGAGCAGATTGACTGACTGATTAATTGATAATGCTAAATAAACAGCTGTTGAACTGTCATGTGAGCAGATTGACTGACTGATTAATTGATAATGCTAAATAAACAGCTGTTGAACTGTCAGATAATTTCAATACATACCACTATTTCAGTATTGAAACCAATCATGAGTGACCGGTCTTCCATACGGTGAAGCTTACGAAGATGGTTCAAGAGGAAGAGGGTGCCACTGGGACGAGCACTTGGACAGGACAGAACACATTCCCAGACACATGTAGAGAAGTACTGCAGCTCAACGGCCTCACAGATATCCTCCAGCAACATGTTGGTTCTGGTTGTGGAACAAAGTTAATACATTAAATACACACGGGATTTCATGTGAAGACAACAAGCAAATCAACCATTCCATTTTCTCTAACCTAATGCTTTTCATGAGCTGGTTTTCTTTGATACTTATATTTTGTCGAACATTTGTATTTTTTTTAAATTAGAAAAATTATGAAATGTTGTGTGGGTAAAATCATTTCTTGCTGCAAGAAAGATGCATGTTCTCAAACCTGTCATGCCAGGAAAGCCAGTTTTCTGATGACATGACATCTCTGAACACCAGCTGGTACAGCTATGTTACAGCTTTGATACAAGTTACTCTGACTTCAAAGAAAGCACCTTTGATTAATCACCTTTTAAGACATGCTTCTGGGGAAGGGGGAAGGGTGAAGGGGGATGAGTCTATTATCCCCCCCCCCCCCCCTCTTCCAATAGGGCTCCAAAACCCCAGGGGGGAAAACCGCGATACAAAACTGTTGATGACAGAAGAAGTAAGAGAAGTATATTATTTCTGGTATCACTAAATAACGGGATATTTTGCATGGTAGATATGAAAACTATTGTTCTGTCTAAATGTTTTGAAATAGGATACCACATTAAGACAGCTTATTTCAAACATCAGAACGAGACTAAACCAGTTTACGGCACATTAGCAGAAGAGAAAACTGTAACATGTGATCATGGGAAATATTTATAAAAAGAGATATAAAAGAAGACAGCGAAGGAAGATTCTCGACAGCTTTTTTGTGATGGAAAAGTGTCAATGCACAGATTAATACATACTGTTTGAGATCACAAGGTAACCAGTCTGTAAGGCATTTGATTATGATAACAATGAAGTCTATGAAAACAAAAAGGTGACACTGTGAAGCAAAAAGACCCACCTGTCAAAGAACTCGGCCCCCTCCTCAAGCCCAGGCAACAGACCTAGCAGAAGCCCATTCAAGCCAGGTTTCAGGTGGGCACCCAACGGCACAAAGTGCATCTCATAGACTGTCAGCAGAACTGGCTTCACACTCATGGCCACGTGCCGCAGTAAAGGAAACAAACCCACACTGTAGATAAACAGGTCATGGGCCAAGCGCTGAGTCCCGATACATTTGAAGATGATGTCGTATGTCTCTAGGGTCTTGAGATGGACACTGCTCGGCAAGGATGGGTGTAGGCACTGGGCAAGGCATTTACCAACCATCAGCTTCTTTGGGATCACTGGATACCTCAAGTTTGATAGTAGTATCTGATGTCAGAATGAAAACATTCTCTTGTTTATTTCATGATAAGTGTATATGTAAACAAGGTATTCACATGACCCACTGTGTTCAGCTGCACAGCAGTCAGCACTTTCACCTGCTGATAGCTGTGACATAAATCTTTCACTCAATTTATCGTTACATCATCTTCTGCCTTAAGCAATTCTGCAGTAATATCATCATCACCTGCTGCCTTTTTGTTTGCAGCTGAGTTGATTGCCTCCCCGATTTCCATCTCATTTATCTGTCCTACATTTATTTGTAAAAATAAAGTCATTTTAGCCTCTTCTCCAAAATTCACTGGTTCATGTTACTAGGTCTATTTAAGATTTCTACCCATCTCTTCTTATATGTTGGTGTCTGTACATGTGATTGTATATGTGTGTATGCGTGTACAGGTATGTATGTACATATGTATGGAATGTGTATGTGCATGTATATCCATAAATGTATGTGTGTGTTTTCTGTTTGTGCATTTATGTCTATGTATGTGTATGTTTTATGTTTGTGTATGTATGTAGATGCGTGTATGTTTGTATTACGTATGTCTGTACATGAGTATGCATGTATGAGAATGCAGGAGTATGTCGACGTGTGTGTGTGAGTGAGTACGATTGTGTACACATGATGTGTGTATGCATTATACTATAATTTATATTTCTTTATTACATCCATAACATGCATTATTGATAACAGGCATTGGTACTCTGAAAAATGAGTGCTTAGAAGGGCCGAATGTCAGACGGGCCTGCGTGCCCAATTTGTAACCCTTCGAAAATAAAGTTTGTTCGTTCGTTCGTTCTTCTGCTCAGTATCAGATATAAGTTCTGTACCATCCTTACTTTTAATGTGACTAACCAGTAGATGATGATGATACAGATGATGATGCTGACGATTATACAGATGATAATGACAACAAAGATAGTCATGATTCTATTGACCTTATTGAGCCTTCCCAAAGCAGAAATGATAGTTGCTGGTTCATTGGTGCAGTCAAAGCTGAGGAGAATCTTCTCAATTTGTGTGATGTAAGAGCGGTACTTGGCATCACCCAATAGTTCACACTCTTCTACAGTCAGCCAGCTCATCGTGGAGTAACATCACCTGTGAATTTGATAATGTGAAACATCAACCACATCATTTAGAAACTTGTGAATTAGCCGATGTAAAAATATAATATACATCACTGAAAACCTGTGAAACATATGACTGAAACCTATGATTTGATTTGATTCAAGAATCGACATACAGCATTTGGGGTATTGCCATATATGCTCCATCCCCATCTTCAGCAGCCAGCAAAGAGTTTTAATACTAATGGTGCCAGTAGCATTTTGACTAAATGTCAGTCTTGCCTTTCCTCTGAGCCTTGAGCATCTGCCAGAACCTCTCATCACTCCCCTCCGCATCAATCTCACCAGACTCAGGTGATCCATCTGCTCCTCCGAACTGTACACGCTCTCCCACAAGGCACTAACCACATCTGCCTTTTCATGCATCAGTATTCCACCAAGTTGTGCAGAGCCAGCCAGTCTGTCCGGCTGTTCATTTGCCATAACTGAAGTAATAAGATATCATGGCCCCATGTGGACTCAAGAATATAACTGAGTGAACAAAAATAAAATAAACCTACAGCCTATTAATAAGCATGTTTTAAAACGTGAGTAATTAGGAGTTTGGTGAAATTGGATGCATTAGGCCAAACTGCCTGAATACTGCAGTACAGCTGCAAACCACAATGCAACTGTGTTTTTTAGAGTAAATACAGAATAGGAAGAAATCATGGAACCCGATGGTAACTGAGGTAAAAAGCAGCAAATAGTTAACTAGGAAGGAAAAGGGACAAGAAAGCAAATTATATTTTGGAGCCTTCAAAATTTGGGCACTCTTCCGAATACCGGCCCCATATTATTCAAAGACAAAAAATCCCATTCAGGGCCTCAAGAGGTCTTTGTTAGGGACTTGAGAGGTCATGTAGTTAAAAATATGGAACAGGAACACTACAAACTATGCTTTCTTTTATTGGCTCTACTGGCAAATCCGGACGAAGAATAAACAGCCTTGGACGACTTAGTCAGAGTTCTCTCCCTTGGGCGCACTCCGAACAGTGATCGGAAAAGCCACAACGAAACAAAGAAGACAGTCACGTCGACATCAGGGCTGCCAATGCTTGGTTGTTTCCCCCAGATCTGGGTTTTTTTTTCGACGCTGCAGGACAAATCTGGGTTTTTGTGTGTGGTGTGTTGTGTTTGTTGGTTTTTGCCGATTTGTATGCTTTAATGATCGATAAATTTGCGCGGTTACTGGTAGGGGTTAGGGTTAGGGAGTAGGATTAGGATTAGGGTTAGCGGTAGGGTTAGGTTTAGCGTTAGATTTGACAATTTTGACGCCGGAGTTCCCTATAATCGCGCACAGTCCCATACACACACAAACAATCGAGGGCCTCTGGATGCTGGTCAAACGCACACTTCGCCAACGATTGGAGGCACCAGCCGCACGCTATTGGCGTCATATTTGGCAGAGTTTCAGTGGCGCCACTCCCACAAACATCAGATTGTCGGCCAGTATTTCGAAATCCTACGTCAAAATTTTCACATCTAACCCTAACCCTACCCCTAACCCTACCCGTAACCCTACCCCTAACCCTAACCCTACTCCTACCCCTAACCCTAACCCTACCCCTAACCCTAACCCTACCCCTAACCCTAACCCTACCCCTAACTCTAACCCAACAACCGCATGATGATGACTACACAACCATTCACAATGCCTCACGCAACCGTACGCAACCCTGCACGCAACCATATGATGATGCCACGATGCCCCACGCAACCGTACGCAGCCCTGCACGCAACCGCAGGATGATAGGTAAGTGTGTCGTTTATTTCGTTTGTTTTCCGATCACTGTTCGGAGTGCGCCCAAGGGAGAGAACTCTGACTAAGTCGTCCAAGGCTGTTTATTCTTCGTCCGGATTTGCCAGTAGAGCCCTTTTATTATATAATTTCGTTTGAACAAAATTATCGAGTCTTCCCTAGTATAGTTGATAAGCAGTCTGCTTGTTACGCCGGTGATCAGGGTTCGACACAGGAATGTTTTGGTCAGCAAATAATATGGGGCCGGTATTCGGAAGAGTGCCCCAAATTATAACCTTAAGGGGTGAACAGGATATTTTTGTGATAATTAAATAATTACTAGTGCTGTTTACTACTACAAGCATATGTTAGCCTGGTTAAAGTGGAACTTACATGAAAACGTACCTAGGTGTCTCTAAAGCATGACTTCCTCACACTAATGGTGTCTTTCATTTTCAATTAGAAAATACAATGCTAATGAGCCTGCCTAATGCATTAATTCATCTACCGAAGATTAGATCGCAACCGGCAATGACTCCTGATTACATGAGAAAAAGTGTCATAAGTAACACCCTTCCTACACGACTCTACTGCTGGTTTAGTTAAATTACTTACAACACACGCTTGATCTGACAATTGTGAAGTTGTGTAACTGAGACAAGATATCTATCTATCACAAGACAAGCAAAATGGACCGCATCGTAACAACTAACAAGTCCCCATCTTGCCTTACGGCCAAGCTTTGTTTGCTGACTTGACATGGATGGCCGAGCAGACAGCAGACAATCGCCCACCTCTCTCCACCGTGTCGGTCGAGCTAAACCAACGGTTCACTGATTCAAAAACATGTTGTTTACTTCCTAAGGTTTGTTCCTGGTGTTAGGGGAACCACCGATGATAAAAAGATTCATACATTTATAATTTGTAGATTTTTTTTGTTGGTTTACTTGAATACTTACTAGACTGTTTTGAAGTCGCCAAGTTTGCGACTTTCGTTGTTTTGGGCAGTGTTGCCACTTTTCTTTGACAAAAAAGATCCAAAACGGGGTTTAAAAATATCTAAAAAGATCTAAATTTGCGTGGATAATATTAAAAAAAATATCCAAATGAAAAGAGTCACAAATTACAAAACTATTGAAATGACTTACCCTATAGACACATGTCCTCATCTTCACTGATGTCTGCTTCACAAGATCCACAGGATAAACTTAGCTTGGATGAAGAAGTTGAAGCTTCAGATCCCAAATTACTCTGGTATGCTTTAGCTGTTCCAATTTCTTTTAATACACAATCAGGGAGCTGATAAGTGGAACAGCATTTTCCTACTCTCATCAGGCCAAACTTTATTGTCAGGATAGCATCTAAGAGGTCTAATTTCATCCTGTTTCTTAGGTTAGATTTGATGTAATTCATAGCACTGAAAAACTCTTTCTACGTCAGCATTTGAGTTGGGTAGTATCATGGCAGACATGGCACATTCAAAGAGTTTACAGAATGGACTGTTTGATGAGGCATCTTTAAATTGTCTCACTTCACTCCAAAACGCTTCAGTTTCTGTTTTGTTTGTCCATTCAACTAAGTTTATTTTGGTTAACTGATATTCTGCTTCCGCGACACTATTGTCAGTAGCCCCTAAAAATTTCATAACTTTACAATATTTAGGTATGTCCTTTACTGGCTGAAGTATGTTGCTCACAGAAAAGAGTGAAATATGTTTCAATACATCTAGATTTTCAGGAAGTCTCTGCTTTAGTTGCTTGAATAATGAGATAAGGAAATCTTGACAGCGTTTTCTTAAGTTGTTCTCTTCATTCTCTGTTAACAGTCCTTTTGTTTTTAAATCATCAATTTTTGATTCAATTTGATATCCAAGGTATGGCTTAAGAGCCAAATAGCTCTCTATAGTGCAAGTGAGCAAATCAACTTTTGAAGTTGGCAACACCAGTCTTTTACCAACTGAGTAAAATAGCAAAGTGAGATCGTCAAGTAATTTAACTTTATCAACATGTTTGGATTCGAACAGTTTATTAACTTTTTGCACTTCCATTAGAATAGGTTGTAAAAAGAGAAGGAATGCCAAATTTTTTTCATCACTGTACATTCCATATAGTATCTCAGTTGTGTAGCACTTTTCACTTTGTCTTGTTATTTCAAAATGTGTCTTTAACTCCAACCATTGGTTCACAATTCTTTCAACAGCTGGTTGTATTGATAACCACCTGGTTTTGCAATCTGACAGAATTTTCAGTGGCGTGGAACCATTATTTAAGGCTGAATACAATGCATTGTATTGCTGTTGTCTGACAAATTATTTTGAAAACCAGTTATGTGTTTCAGCAATAAGGTATTCCAAATTCCTTGGTAAACATTCAGATGAAGCATGTGATAATGCTAGCTGCAATGAATGACACATACATTTTATAAGTATTAACGATGGGATAGCTTCCTTCAACTTGGTATAAACGCCATTGTTTATACCAACCATCACTGAGGCATTATCGGTACCAATTGCAACCAAATTTGTCAAGTCTAACTGTTTGCTGATTAAAAGGTTCTTCAGTTCTTGAACTATACTTTCTGCATCACACTTTTCCAATTGAACTAGTCCAAGATATGTAGAAACTACTTTGTCTGTATTGTTGCTGTAATATATAATACACACACCAAGCACTTTCAGTACCGAAATATCATTTGATTCGTCTAATAATAAACTATATTTATTTGTAGAAATATCACTGATCAAATCTTTTTCGAAGTGAGAAAATAAAGTATTTCTTATAATATGTGTACACTAGCTGCGATGCATTTTCACATCATCCATAACTTTACTGTCAGAAATTGTGTTTTTAAACAAATCAATCAAATGGTCAGTTTGAAATTGCACAATGGCAACTTAAAAACATTGCGACCGACCCTTCAACTTTTGATGATTCATTTATCAGTGTAGTTCTGAAAACAGATGTCAGCGGTGTAATATCTTTGAATGGAACTGCAGTTTTATACTTGTTAGTCTCTGCATGCTTCTTTAAGTCTTGTATTTTCGCTTTAATTTCACACTTGCAGTACTTACAACGAGCTTTGGTTATATCCCCAGGAACTGCCATCACCCAGTCTTTAATTTTGTCATCATGCAAATACTCTTTCCGAAATTTTTACTCATACTTTACTTTTGGCATGTTGAAAGGTTTTTTCAAAGTGAAAGCCACACAAGAAGGTGAGCAATTATTTTTTAAAT